AATCATTTAGCTAATTAATATAAAAAAATAAATTTAATATAAACTTAATCTAAATAAGAAATTCAATAATATCTTTATATATAATATTTTTAATTTTTCTGCGAGGCAAAAGGGCTTACAACAGATAAAATATAATAAATTTATTAAAATATATCAGTATTTAATCAGCATTTGAATATAAATATAAAAAATTTTTAATTTATATATAGAATTATATTTTTAATATTCTAATTCTAATATACGGACGCCAGAATCGTTATAAAAATTATTATGAAATAATTGAAATTATAATATATAAAAATACTTTATTTAGAATATATAAATAAGAAAACAATCAAACAGTCTAATATATAGAAAATAAATAATAAACAATGGTATAAAACAAAAGATATAAAACGTACTGATTTAATAAGACGAAAAATAGTATATAAATTAGATAATCAATAAATAAATCAGAATAAAAATTAAGAAGTTAAGTAATTTATAATATAAATAAGAAAGATAGAATAACAGATAGATTATAGAAGTCTTATAATCGGTAATATAAATATTAAGAAGTTGATATAAAAAGCCTAGAAATTAATAAAATAAGAAAATATAATATAAAAAATTAAAAATAATAATTTAACTAATAAGAATTTTAGAAATATATAATATAATATATTTTTATAGTATAATTAAAAATATAAATATTAATATATTTTTAAAAACTTTTTCAATAATATATTTATTATTTATTTTCATATATATAAATTAATATGTAGTATAGTCGACATTAATATATTTAATAAATATTTTATTTAAATATTATAGTTTATCTAATAATACTATATTTATATACACTATTATTTTAGTATTATAAATATTAATATAAATATATTTTTTAAATTATGTTATCTCAATAGTAAGTTTTATTTATATAATATTAATTTGAATAAATATTCTATTTAAATAGATTTTAAAATAATTATTATATTATTATATATATTTAATATATTTAAATAATAAATTAGAAAAAATTATATATCTAACTTTTAAATAATTAAAATTCTTACTATTTTATATAGTAATACTAAGTTTAAAAATCCTGCTGTCTTATTATATATGAGAAATAATAAAATATTCTATATATTTAAATATATTATTTATAAAAGAAATAGAATGAATATTATTATAAATAATCTTGAGCTTTATTTAATTATTATTTTAGAATATTTTTACATTAGTTTATAACAACTAATATTACGTCGGTTTTAATACATATTTTAATAGTTTTTAATAATTTTATATTTTATCAAAAGTATCAACTATTTTATTAATCTTTTATTTATTATTTAATATATCTTTTATAAAAATTTCTAAATATAAGCTGTATAGTAAACCTTAATTTACAATATTCTTATATATTTTTTATATTATTATATTTAATTTTATTACTAATCTGTTTTTCATAAAGAATAAAAAATATGATTCATTATTAAGAGACAAGTTCATTAAAAGAATGAAATATATCTTTAATAATACAAAATAAAAAGCTTTTGTATAAAGAGAAAAGAAGTTAGTTGGATATAGAATAGTAGCAGGTTATATATTTTTAAAACTAATTCTTATTATTCTAAAAGTCTAGTAAGATTCTAGGAATTATATACTAAGAAACTAAAAGTTATTAATATTAAGATTTTTATATAAAAAATATAGAAATAAGCTATTTTTAATTTATTATATATTTATAGATTATTTATAATAATTAGACCTTTTTCTATACAGCTGTTTCAGCTGTAAAATAGCAGTATAATACTATTATTTTAATAGATAAATTAATTTATTTAATAAATATAATAATAATAAATAAAATAGAATCAAAACTAGTCTCAGCCTAATATAATTATTATAATCTAATACTATCTTATTTTAAAAATATTATTATTTTATAATGATAATATTAATAATATAAATATACTTTTATATATTTTTTTTAATATTTTTTAATATTATTAATATTATTTATTTTATATTAAAAAGCTTATAGTTTTCTGTTATTTTTATATTTATTTTAGTTATTTATTTTAATATATATATAGTATTTATATTTTATATTTTTCTAATATTATTAAAATATTACTAGATTACTGTAGTTTTATTAACAAATCAAAATATTTATATTATTAATTTTTTATCTTTTTATAAAGACTTTTTTTTTATCTCAAAATAATATTGTATTTTATATATTTAAAAACTTCGGTAAAAAATTATAAATAAGATTTAAAACAAAGAAAGATCTAAATTGAACTATATTTTTAATATAGTTTTATTTATTAAATACTATCTATATACAATATAAAAAAATTTATAAATATTCTATTTTTCATAATTTATTTTTAAAATATGTTTAAATATTAGATAGATAATTATAAAAATATTAAAAAATATTATATATTTTACTAAAACTTTATATTAAATACTTAGATTATAGAATACTACTTTTAAAAATTTACATTTTTTATTTTTATTATTTTTTAAATAAATTAATCCATAGACTTATAGTTAAGTTTATTAATATAAAAAAACTTATTAAATTAAGTATTATATATTAATAATAATAAAAAAACTATAATTATAAATCGCTTTTCTATTTTGATAAAGATATAGTAATAATCTAATAAAATATATTATAAAATACTAGAGCTTTATTATAATATATTACATATTAATTATTTATATTAATAAAAATTATTAATATTTATATTTTTTATTTATTAATATAAAATATATATCTTAAAAACTTACTATCTTTAATTTTTTTTAAAAAATATTATTTAAAAAAATGATTTATATATTATTAAATAATCGGAAATCTAAATAAACTGCTATTTAAAATATTTTAAAATTATTTTTTATTGCAATTATCTATAATTTATAATTATTTGAATAGTTTAGAAGTATTTTATTTTAATTTTAATATTTCTATAGTAATATTTTATTATATTTAGTCCGATTAAATATATATAATTTAGATTTCTTTTAATATTTTTTTATAGTTTATATCTACTTATACCATACGAAAATACAGCTTTTTAGACTTTTTACTTTAAAAATTAATATCTCTGCCATTTCTTCATAATTTTCAAAAATTATTTTTAAGATATAAAAATTCAACTATTTATCGGATTTCTAAGGCTATTTTAGAACTTCTTAATCTAAATTAAAAAAGTTATTTTATAGAAACGAAATTTGCGCTGAATTTGAAATATAGACAAATTATTATAGATTTTTTATTTTTAAGGGAAATATTATATAAATATAAAATTATTTTAATAAATAAAAATACTTCCGGGCCTTCAGAGGCCGTACGCCATTTTTAATTTATTTTTTAATTTTTATAGCTATTTTTAGTGTGATTTTTAGACCCACATCTCTTCCGCGGGTAACAAGAACCACCATATGTGCAAAAATACGGATTAATATCACTCCGAATACTAAGCGAGAAAGGTCTTGGCCGGCCGTACGAGCGAGGAAGGCCTTGACCAGCCGTTGGCCATACGAGCGAGAGAGGCCTTGACCGGCCGTGGGCTATACGAGCCAGAGAGGCCTTGGCCGGCTACGCGAACTGCCCTGTAAACTCCCCCCGAGCGTAAGCGAGGGTTACCTAGGCTTGTATTAAAATAAATTTATAATATAATAAATCTATACTTCTTATTATATTTTATATATATATCGTTTATATTTTATAATTATTTTTAATAATATAAATAATCTAATATCTATTCTATTTTTTATTCTCTATTATTATTTAAATCTGATGTTAATAGTATTTTAGAACCATTTTTTTGATTTTTTAAAAATTTCAATAAGAAAATAAAAAAAATTATATAATTAAATATATTTTTTAAAAAGATATAAATAAATATTTATTTTTTTACAGCTTTTAAAATTCTAAAAAAACCTTATAAATTTTAAAATTAATTTGTAAGGATTTTTTAAATTTAATATTTATAGTAGACAGTTTAATTAAATCTTTTTATATTAAAAAATATAAATTATTCTATTTTTTATTTAAAAAATATAAATTATTCTATTTTTTATTTAAAAAATATAAATTATTCTATTTTTTATTTAAAAAATATAAATTATTCTATTTTTTATTTAAAAAATGATATACTATAATAATTATTATAGTAAGTTAATTAATTTTTATTTATTTTTTATTAATTTTTTTAATATTTTTTATAAAATATTTTGTTTTTTAATCTTTTTGATATTAGCGATATTCCTACTTTTGAAAGATTATTTTTTATTTAAAATCTAAATTTAAAAAAATAATTTATTAAAGTTTTAAAAATAATCGGTTTTATAGAGATATTTAGACAATTATTATATACATATTCTATTTTATTTAATAAATTTATCTAATAATTTTAATATTTAGTCATAAAATAGTATAGATAATGTTTAAAAATTTAATTATTAATTTATAAATAAAATATAATTAATAATTATTAATATAAAATTTATTCAATAATCTTAATAGTACAAGTTAAATAATCTTATAATAAAATTTATAGTAAAGCCACTCTCATTTATGTATTTGGTAAAATATACTATTTTACTTATGGACAGTATAATATATCAAATTTACTTGAAATTTCGCTGATTTTATGATTATAGAAGAAACTAGTTATATATAATATACTATTTACATATTTCGGGCTTCTGTGATCCAGCAATTCCGGGCCACATACTCCGACAGGTCTTACAGGTCTGTACTCTCATAAGGCTTTTGAGGGGAGGATATTGTTATACGCAACATGTGCTGTAATGCTATCATATAGTTGATTATCTTCTCTAGTCTACAAATAGAACCATACTTCCTTCATATACGTGATCTCTATATGACATCACATTTTAAGAATGAGAAAGCACAGAATTTCTCTATATATGTATATATATACAGCAACATAGTGTTCTCCGCCTCTGACGGAGCCATTTGGAACAATAGCCTTTCATAGACCCATTACATTCCTGACATGGCTCATAGTCTGTTCGGCATTGGTCCTGGCTGTATGCTTTCCCTGTTCAGAGACAGCATCTAGATACCCGCCCTTGTCCGCAATTAGTTGTAAGTATGTCTCCCTGATAGGCGCAAGCTTGCTCGAGATCTGATTTGCTAGGGTTTCCTTCAAAGCCTTGAGACTAGAAAATCGGTGCTCCAAAACTAAATCCTCGCATGTTCTTCCGTCAAAATGACTAAGAAGCTCTAAGAGATTCGACACACCGGGCCTGCCAATGGGGTCATACGTTACGCCTGCTTCCGAATCCGTGAGCGCAACCTTGATCTTCTTACGAATTTCCTCAGAGGAGTCGGTGAGAAGAATTCTGGATCGTGGGTCACTATGAGACTTGGACATCTTAAGAGTAGGCTCTTTGAGAGACATCACTCGCCTAGCGGGTGCTACAGGGAATTCCATAGTCAGTAATCTTTCTCTGCCGTGGTAACACCTTCATTGGGGAAACCAAAAGCGCCTCACATATAAGAGCCTCCGGAATTGGAAAAACCCGCCCATATCGATGGTTAAAACTACTCGCAATATTCCGAGAGAATTCGAGATGTTGCCTTTGATCCTCTCCAACTGGAACGTGGGTAGCTCTAATCGGAGTTAGCCAAGATCTGCGGGTGTTGAATAGCACCAGACCTGTGAACAAGTATGTCCGCTGCTTGGAGAACAGGGTATGAAAAAAGGCCAAGCCGTAACTCGGATCTTGCTGCTTGGCTTTCGAGAGTCGCTTCGTCGGGTAACTGAAGCTTGCTCTTTTCGGTGTTAATGCTGATGCCTCAATGATAGTTCTTTGCTGCAATGCCTGCAACCCGTAGTCTCCGTCTTCCATTATGATTACTCACTTTCCATTGAGTCATTCGAGATAGGTATCCCATAGATGCTATCGTGCATAAGATCCAGAACAGCTCAGCATGTGATTGAACCTGACGGTGGGTTAGTGGACAAGAAAGACAATCAACTGATAAGAGCAGCACAGCGTACGGCGGATTGATAGAAGAGCGTGGAGCGATTTGGATCCAAGCCCACGGCAATCAACGCGGCGAGCATTTGTTTCCTCCAGTCCCTCAACTGGCAGCGTTCTTGGGGCACTGTGAGCGCATGTAAATCCACGATAGAGAACACAAGTCTTGTCCCTTCGGACGCAGTGTCTTGTAATCGAACCCATTCCTTCAAAGCACCCAAGTAATTACCCAAGTGAGGCACGCCTGTAGGCTGGATACCAGAAAAAATTGTGCGAGGTGTATCGGAAGCGCGTTTTGTAGTACAGATGCTAAATGATCTGTTAAGGCGACAACTTTTCAGCTTTTCGTATCTGATGGGGATCCTGATGGGTCTTCCAGCGCAAAGCCGGTGCTCGTTGGCAGCCAATCTGAGATTTTTATTGAGGCAAGAGCTTATAATATACATGTTGTATCAACACCACCTTCTCGAGGCGAGTTGCATATAACCATGGGTTTACATAGCATAGCCCGAGAGCCGCGGAATATACCGGCCGTGCGTCACGTGACCAGAAGTAACTGGTGTCATATAAAAAGACTTCATTGTATAGGAGCACCACACCTTGATAGCCCGTGTATTGCGACCGTGTATTGCGATCAGTCCTTGAAATTTCTAGACAAAGGCCACTAAAGGAAACACGGACACGGGGCTACATGAGATGATTGAAGGCCGGGGATCCATAGCAGTGGGTGTCATGTTGGGATTGTATTCTTATTTGCATTTGCCGAAGCTGCTGAGAACCATGCCGAGACAGAATGGTATGTGGTGGTGTGTACTGCAAATTTCTCCCAAGGCCAAGCAGAAGTATCAGAGATTCCATGGCCGGGTAATACAGATCAAACAAGGCAGCAGGAGCTTATGTGGAAGTATCCTTGACGGGTCAGCGCCTGCCGACCTCTGATAAGGGGCTCTTCAGTGTGACCAGGTGGTCTTTGTTCAAGATTTGAACAAGAGAATCGTCCGATTTTGTATCTTGTCTTTGACCGAATTGTGAAAGGAGTGCTTCAAGTGACTTTTCGGTTTCTGAACCCGCTCTGTCTAGGTTCTCGACGACATCTTAGGTACGAACAAATGGTCAGCTCTTACTAATAGTGAAATGCAATAGAAGGCTTAGACATACCGAGACTGTCGTATTCCCACATGTTTGCTTTCATACCCACTCCGTGAAATGCATATTTCCTCAAAAAAGCCAGCCACGCCTGGACAGTCTGTGGATTCCCATCTTTGACCTGAATCAGCCGACGCAGGGTTATACGCTCAAAGTTCTCTTGGCTCTTCTTGTGAACAAAATTGCTTCGGGGCACAGTCCATCTTTCGACAATGCGTGGTAAAGGTACAGGCCCAGAGACCGGAAGACCTAAGTAATATGCAGCTCGTATAGCGAAATCCGAAAAGAATTCAACGTTTCGAACGCTGTATGATCTCAACTGTAGATCACACACTGGAAGACCATATTCAGCCTTCCTACGAAGCGGCCGTAGATATACTGCTTGAACGCTTCGGGGCAGCCGTGCCTTGCCACTTAAACCCTCTAGACGCTGCACCCTGTAGTTATAGTTAGTCCGTTATTCAATCGACGATTTGCGTTCGAGTGAAAGTCCAACCAATCTTTGGCTTGCAGCTGAGGCGACGTAGATGGCTCTGTCGAGTGACCAGAACTAGACTGAAGTAAGCCAAAAAGCTCGGAAGCGCGGGAATGAGTTACAGCCGCTGACATTCGTTCGTCCTGGACCAGACTGGAGGTGCGAGGTACATCAGCGCTGGGTGGATTATTTCTTTCCACCCCAGTCAAGGAGCTAGAGTGGCGAATTGATACAAGAGGCTGATTATACTGGTGTTAATAAGTGCTGTTCTTTTGACAGTGTGGCATTGGATAGTCACCTGTAGTCGCTGGCCTACTCGTGAGAGCAGCCGAGGATAGATTGTTAGAGACATGAGTACAGCGGTAAACGGTGACACTGGTACATTAAAATCATAAGATGATGCTGTTAAAAAGAGCCATGCATCGGTAATATGCTGGGTTTTCCAGGTCCCGGTGCTTTCCCCAAAGGCGGTCGTATCTTTAGCTGTCTCCCATTGGCTCTGGGTTGACCGCTTTCCATGAGCCGTCCCGGGTCTTGGCTGATGAATCAAGTACGGGACATGATGCAGCCAAAGATCTTGCGCGAGGTAGCCTTATTTCTGTGAATGCACTTCTACTCATTCGGGCTGCGTCAACGCTACTAATCGAACTCCAGGTATTTGAGCACTTTCTGTTGCTCGAATCATGTGAGGAATTCCTCCTTGATAACTCTGATGTACCCTGCTTCTCTTTCAAGACGCAGCTGTTCATTGCTGATCACAACGAAACCTGCTCAAGTACTCGAATGAAGTAGCCAGGCCGAAAATCGCTCAGATGCCTGAGAGAGCACTCCGCCAAAGCAAGTCTAAGACGCCCCGCCAGTCGGCTAGAGGATGTGCGCCATCTTTCGAGGCTGGGAGTTCATCGAAAACCCACGATGCCAGGAATAAGAGCATCGCGCAAGCAAACAATTCTCTGGAAGCTACACCAAACAGCAAAAGGACGCGGGCGCATAAGCCCTTGCAGCAGAAGAGACAAAGGCTTACGGCCCCAGAGCAGTTGACCTCAATTCGAAGTGGTGGGAACGTGTGTTGTAGTTATGACGCCCGACAGGTTGGTATGGCATGTTCGAATGAGCTTCGCGCTCAGTCGTGCTCGGCCATCTCTGATGCCAGTGCTGCTGTGGTCGGGAACGAAAAGAATGACAGTCACCATCGCTCTTCCAGCATATCGTCTCTCGTGGCAGCTAGTTCAATTCCTCTGTCTCTGGCGTCGGCTGCTCAAATTAAGTCTGATTGCGAAGCATCAGTTCACTCGCTAAGAAGCTCGCCAATCTCAAATCATGTCTCACAAACTAGGGACAGACCTGAGAGAAACATGTTGACAGTTCCATATCAGCAACGAGTGAGGCCAACGCGAAGAAGGCTTGTTGATTCCTTGAGTGCGGCAGAGGAGTCAGTCCTGAATGAGGTATCTGCCTCCGACTCTGAAACCTGTGGCGCAAATACATCTTCTGTCCTAGGAATCTCTCAATCAAAGGCTGGAGCTGTCCAGCTGGACCAAGTTCGGGATCAGCAAGGTCCCGTCAAGTCCCCAAGCAATGACAGGGAGGCAGGACCATCAGTTTCAAGTACTCTTTTACGTTCCAGGATAACGTACGCTCGCCAACGCTCGTTCTTAGGAAGTACGTTGAACACTTCTGACTCTGAATTACATGGCGCCTCGGCTTCAGCTTTGGACGGTGATGAAGCTGGGGCTTCGTCTGCCTCACTCAAACATCGCAGTACCCTTTTGTTGTCTGCCGCAGATGGCGAGGAACACGGCAGGCCTGTCCGAAGCATCCATGAGCTGAGGCAGGCTGGGGATAATGCTCGCTTCCAAGAGTCGGTTGATGCACTATTCGATGATTTTGAAGACCCGGGCAACACCGTTTCCGAGAGATGCAATGGGCTCATTCAGCTGTGTTCGAAGCTACTCAAACCCGACTTCATGCATCGATTCTTGGAATATGGCTTTGATGAACGACTAGTCAAAAGTACAGTGAGTGATTTAGACATTATCTCATCATGTCTAGCACTGTGTGCCTATAGATTGGTCTATCTCAAAGGGGTATATTCGTACTCAAATTTGGGAACTTTTTGGACCACTCTTGTCGACAAATCTTCGTTATTGCTAGCAGTAAAAGACGATATAATGTCCTTGGCAGGCAATCCACGATTGCATGTGTCAAGAGCCGTGCAAGCGTTACTCAGGGATCTCATCCCACGATTGACAGCTTCGATATTCTCAGAAGGCCCGACACCGAGACTTTCTCCACGGCTAGTCATTCTTTCCTGCATTAGCATTTGCTTGACAGCATTCCAAGACAAGTCTCAACCTATACAGTCGATGTCCCGGTCTTTGCTAGATAACCTTATTGGGCTCCTGCCTCCGAACAATGGTGAAGCCACAGCATATCCTCTGTCCTACGACGACTTTCAAACAAGGACAATGACTCTTCTTGTTCTGGAGAGTTACTTAATGCTTCCAGCGACACCAGGCTATGACTACAATGGCTCTTTCCACAAATTTGTCCTGATGCATGATGACTTCATTCGTCCTGCCCAGGATGACCAAGGCCGACGAATTTTGACGTTATATTTGAGGGTCGTACTAAACCTCACCAATAATGATCCTCTGGCGAGCGAGCAATATGCCGCACCTGAAATAATCACCGGATTCGTTCGAATCATCACAACTGAGCTTTCAGATGCGTCTTCTACCGTCGGCTTCGGTGAGCACGAGTCATTCAACCTCGTCATCTTGGCTCTAGGTGTTCTTATAAACCTGGCAGAACAGAGTGAGAGTTGCAGAGCCTCCTTTCTTGAGCCAATGCATGACTCGTATCCACCCCTTGAGACACTTGCACATCAGTTTTCTCTCAGCATCGACCTCATCAAACATGTAAGTGTTGAAAGTACCCCAGCCAGCAGAAATCACCGCTCATATAATTACCAGGCAAATTCCCTTTCCGAGTCACATAATAATGTTGCTGTCGGGTACTTGTCGATACTGCTAGCTCTTCTCTGTCTACGTAAGGAAGCATACTTTCGAATTCAGGAACTGCTCATGGAATGTGGTAAGGAGATCGCCTCGGTCATTTCAACAGCGAAAGAATTTTTGGTATATCATCAGAAAGTCGAAAGGGACTCACGACTCGGCGAATTGCAAAATCGCGACAACACATCCACGGCACGTTTGACACATATCATAGAGCAAATAAGCCAACCGTAGAGCAAACCCGTTACCAAAGTGACAATACCTTCATCCACCATAGCTAGGTGCGGTTTTAACACCAAGGTCTCGAATGGTGTACGGATTTCTTATGATATAGTAGTTGCTCGGTACCATAATCAACTCAGGCGTAATTATCACTAGGCACGGAGAAGTCTTCAAATATAAACATGGCATTATTTTCTGCAGCCAGAAAAGTAAATCTGGTACTGTAACAGTTAAATGATAATCGATAAGCAATCATCGGCGATAAGTTTAACCCGATGCGCTAAATGCCCTTTCCGTCCTGACATAATATGTATGTGCAGCCGTTTGATTTGTTTGCCACTCTCGGCTGGAGTTCTAATGTCCCGAATTCCATCTTTATGATGAGGGCTGCTGAGACTACAGGGTCTTATAGTTTTTTCCCTCATACTGATCCGTTTTGACTATTTCGGGAAATCTGCCACAGCGCTACGCTCCAGAAAGAAGTCTGTACCGCCCAAAGGTCTTTCTGCGTCAGTATACATCTTGCCCATAATCGTTAATCTGTACTGCTATTTAAGAGGAAGATGCCTAGTGCTCCGAAGCAGCGGAAGATAGCTATTGTTGGCAGTCGCTCTGTGGGTAAGCATCTGCTATTATTTTTCAATTCCTACTATAATCGCCCCCCAAACTGACCTATGATGAACTTGTGACTATTTAGGTAAATCTTCTCTTACAGTTCGGTTCGTTGAACATCATTTCGTAGAAAGCTACTATCCGACGATTGAAAACACGTTCAGCCGCATTATCAAATATAACGGTCAGGACTTCGCAACTGAAATTGTTGACACAGCTGGTCAAGTAAGAAAGACCCATGTAATCTTACTCAGTGGCGTGGCTAATCCTGCGATAGGATGAATATAGCATACTGAATTCAAAGCACTTCATTGGCATCCATGGATACATAATTGTCTACTCGGTGTCATCCCATCAATCATTTGATATGGTCAGAGTTATTCGAGATAAGATACTAAATCATCTGGTACTACCCTAGAACCTATTCACTGCAGCTCCATTATACTGATGCAATAACGCAGGGTGCTGACCACGTGCCCCTTGTTATTGTCGGAAATAAGAGTGACCTCAAGTCAGAACAGCGTCAGGTATCCTTGGATGAAGGGCGGCAACTGGGCGAAGAATTCAACTGTGCTTTCACTGAGGCCAGTGCTCGACTCGATTACAATGTTGCAAAAGCCTTTGACTTGATGATCGGCGAGATTGAAAGGTCCCAGAATCCATCTCAACCTGCAGGAGGGAACAAATGTTCCGTAATGTGATCATTTTAAAATTCACTAGGTATTACTCGATGGGTAATGTGTCTGGGTGGGGTGGGGAGATCTGTTCAACTATGCCTAGTCACCTACAAAGCCTCCCTTTGTTCTATGTATGGCGTGTTCTTGGTTTCTTTCATATCTTACATGTTAATCATCTTAAATGAATCTGATAATACTTCATCACAATACAACAACTCTGCTATACTGACTAAACTTAAAAAAAAGCATCAAGATCAATCGATGTGAATAAATGCATTCCATCTAAATAAGCCAAGCATAATCAGCTCGAACATCTGCTCTGCAGTGGAAGCTGGGAGCAGGTGGCACTCGGGGAGGGGATGGTGAACGAACTCGGCCTAATATCAATTTGATGCTATACCCGAATAGTCAGGCCACCTAGAATTTTGCCCCTCATCCTACACGGCAAGAAAGTTCAGCCTTTTTCAAATACCCCTCTTTGTCAGTGGTCGACCACTTTACCATTCCCAGATCAGATATACTTTCTCACAATCGAGTCTGTAAATCTCTACGTATACTCGAGCATACTGAACCATTTTCAACACACTGCTCAAAAATGCTTGACCTTGCTGATTTTATCACCGAACGCGGTGGTAACCCGAACAGAATAAAGGACAGCCAGCGCAAAAGATATGCACCCGAACATGTTGTCGATGAAGTCCTCGATCTATATGAAGAGGCAAGAAGGGGTATATTGACACACATTATCATTTCACCATGCAATTGGAATTTCTAACTAAGATTATTCTCGCCTACAGCACGCTATGAAGTCATGCAGATCAATTCCCAGCTCAACGCGCTCCAGAAAGAGATCGGAAAGATGAAGAAGGTCGGACTTATCAGTCAATTCCATCATTATCTCCAAATGAAATATCTATATCTAATCAGTGCGAATCATCAAACAGAACAAGGAAGATGCAGGCTCCTTGATGGAACAAAAGGCTGGCCTTGAGCAGCGTAAAAAAGATGCCGAGGAACTTGCCGTCCAGAAGGAATCGCAGAGGGACAAGAAAATCCGAACAATTGGCAACATCGTGCATGATACAGTTCCCGTTAGCAACAACGAGGTTTGTGTCATCTGTATGTCGATGTATCGATATAATTGAGATTGACTCGCCTACTAGGATGACAACGTTGTGGTCAAATCTTGGGTTCCAGATAACGTGAAGGTAGAGAAGCGCGATTGTCTGTCTCATCACGAGGTGCTTACACGTCTTGACGGTTTCGACCCGGAGCGTGGTGTCAAGGTCGTAGGCCACCGTGGGTACTGCTTGACGGGATATGGTCTCTTCTTAAACCTTGCGCTCATCAACTACGGACTTGAGTTTCTCTGGGGAAAGGGCTATAAACCAAACCAGCCTCCCCAATTCATGCTCAAGGATATGATGGCGAAGACAGCGCAGCTCGAGCAATTTGATGAGGAGCTTTACAAAGTCACAGAAAGTGAGGACAAGTCCACTGATAAATATCTAATTGCCACTTCGGAGCAGCCTTTGTCAGCATTGCATGATGGGGAGTGGCTTCAGGACAAAGACCTTCCGATCAAGTAAGTACTATGCCAACATGTCCACATATTATACTAATGGTTCTCAGGTATGCCGGGTATAGCACATGTTACCGCAAGGAAGCAGGCGCGCATGGGAAAGATGCGTGGGGTATTTTCCGAGTTCATCAGTTCGAGAAGGTGAGAAGTCTGTGATAAGCAACATGAATTGACCAGCACTAATATTAGCATAGATCGAACAATTCGTTCTCACAAAACCGGAAGACTCTTGGCAGGCTTTTGAAGAGATGATGGCTACATCGGAGGAGTTCTATCAGTCCCTTGGGTTGCCATATCAGGTGGTAGCAATTGTCTCTGGGGCATTGAACAACGCTGCTGCAAAGAAGTACGACTTAGAAGCCTGGTTTCCTTTCCAAGGGGAGTATAAAGAATTGGTTTCGTGCTCCAACTGCACTGATTACCAATCAAGGGCGCTCGAGATTCGTTACGGCATTAAGAAAGCCACCGATGTTAAGAAGTCCTATGTTCATGCTTTAAATGCTACTCTCTGTGCCACTGAACGAACACTTTGCTGTGTCCTCGAGAACTACCAAACCGAAGATGTATGTTGTGACCTGCTCTATACCGTGATCTTCTAGCTAACTATACATAGGGTATCGTTGTCCCGGAACCTCTTAGGAAATATATCCCAGGAATGCCCGATTTTCTCCCTTTCACAAAGGAACTTCCTAAGGACAGTACCTCTCAGAAGTCCAAGGCCAAGCAGGCTTCGAAGAGCGCGACCAGTGCGGAAGATGCTTCCAAGAAGTTGCAAAACCTCCAACTCTGAGTGCTTTCGTCCGGAAAATCTCACTACCTATTCAGATCAAGAAATGATCTTCCTGCCGCCTCAATACAAATGATCGTGGCTAATCCTCAACTTTCAATGTCATAGATATGGAGCTTGAGATGTTTTGGTCTTACACGGGCGGTAGAGCTTACCTCTAGAATTCGTCTTGCTTTCATTGATTATTTGTGCAATGCTTGACTTCACTTATACTTAAGTATACCTCGTAATAGCTTGGCTTGTCTCTGCACAAGCTCTATGCTCCGGTCATACAGGGCTATATTCTGGGTTCTCTATAAAGCTGCAAGTGTTCAGCCTCCGTAGGCAGCAAAGCAGTAATATGCAATAATGTGAGTAGTAGTTTGGTGTACTTCACGGGGTACTGGAGAAGGAAGGGGCCGGCCCCGCTCTTACCCCTCCAATACGTACTTCTTGTTTGCAGCGATGACTCAAACATTCAATTGCAGATGTGGAACATTGCTCTAACAGTCCGGTTCCGGAGAACTTAAAAAAGTCGGCTACTTTCCCTTCCCCTTCCTATACCTTAAGTTGATAGATTTTTTTTCTCGCCTATATTCTTGCTCGGTACCTTCCATTGACGGATAAATCCAGAAGCAACAATGGCAGCATCAGCAAGGGACATTAACCTCTCCACGTCTCCTACGGCCTCATTCCAATCTGCACCGTCGAGCCATGGAGGATCAGCTCTGGGAAGCCGGACCATCCCACTTGCTAATGCGAAACACCTGAAGCCATTTGCCACTGAGGATATCAAAGTACTACTCCTGGAGAATGTCAATCAGACGGGCAGGGATATTCTCACAAAACAGGGCTACCAGGTTGAATTCCTCAAATCGTCGCTCCCAGAGGATCAGCTTATCGAGAAAATCCGGTCGGTTTTCCATGGTATATCTGTGCCATCTTGTGAGACTTATAGCTGACCTAATGATGAAATCTGAAGTGATGTACATGTCATTGGTATCAGATCCAAGACGAAACTCAGCGCTCGTGTCTTGAAGGAAGCCCGGAACCTTATTGTTATTGGCTGTTTCTGCATTGGGACCAACCAGGTTGACCTTCAGTATGCAGCTGAGCATGGCATTGCTGTCTTCAACTCCCCTTTCAGCAATTCCAGAAGTGTTGCTGAGTTGGTGATCGCCGAGATCATTGTTCTTGCCCGTCAACTTGGCGATCGGTCAAATGAAATGCACAATGGTACCTGGAACAAAGTTAGCAACAAATGCTGGGAAATTCGTGGGAAAACACTCGGTATGCTCTCTTGCCCGAGATAGTAGAAGCTGGCTGACTCAATTTAGGAATCATCGGTTATGGTCACATCGGCGCTCAGCTTTCAGTTCTAGCCGAGGCCATGGGAATGTCGGTCATATTCTATGATGTAGTGAACCTGATGGCACTAGGCACAGCGCGGCAAGTGCCTACCCTTGAAGGACTCCTTGCACAAGCCGACTTTGTTACCTGTCATGTCCCTGAGCTTCCGGAAACCAAGAACATGATAGGGCACCAGCAATTTGAACAAATGAAGACCGGCAGCTATCTCATAAATGCTAGCCGCGGCAGTGTCGTTGATATCCCAGCACTTATCCATTCCATGCGATCTGGTAAGATTGCAGGAGCCGCGCTTGATGTCTATCCTAATGAGCCGGCTGGCAATGGTGACTATTTCAATAACGACCTCAATACATGGGGAGCAGACCTTCGTAGTCTCAAAAACCTGATCTTGACCCCGCACATTGGAGGCAGCACTGAAGAAGCACAGCGTGCAATCGGTGTTGAAGTTGCGGAGGCATTGGTGAGGTATGTCAATGAAGGTACAACGCTCGGCGCCGTCAACCTCCCAGAAGTCGCCCTTCGATCATTGACCATGGATGAATCAAATCATGCTCGGGTAAGGCACTTCATGATCTATGAGTATATACCCACAATTAAGTATATTAATATATGGCATACAGGTCATTTTCATTCACCAGAATGTTCCTGGTGTGTTGCGGAAAGGTACTAGATATGGGACCCGTGGTTTCTTGAATGTAAGGTCGCTGACATTCAACAGTCAACGAAATTCTTGGGGATCACAACGTTGATAAGCAAATGACCGACAGCAGAGGCGATGTATGTTCACCTCGATCAGTTTGTTTCCAGATCCCTCGACTGACTGAGTGCAGGTGGCCTATTTGATGGCTGATATTAGCGACGTCGACAACTCTACAATCAAGGACTTGTATGAGAGACTTGAGAGCCTTGGATGTACGTACCATTTTGCTCCATGATGTTTTTCCCTCTTCCTCTCAACCTTGTGACCGTCATCGCTAATCATGGCCTTCATCGATCGCTCTTCTGTTTCTTTAGCTCGAATTATGACTCGCATCTTGTATTAAGAAAGCCGGGCTTAAAAAGCACGAGGCTGCTTGTTGCGCCGAACTTGTCGACGCGATCTATCAAGGCTGATTTTGCGTCAGTGCTCTTTCAACAGCAGTATCATTACAGTGTGGAGACGAAAAAGCAATGTAAATTACTTCCCACGGTCAATTAGCATGCGCATTTGGAGCCTATGCCTCAATGGACTTTCATAGGGGGTCATTCACTAGGCTTCATTTAGAAGCTCGCGCAGCTACTCTGCAACTATTGGCAATATGTTCAACACCGCCTCACAATTTGATGTATCAACCAGAAATTCCAGTGAGCTTATATATACGTTATCTTCAGTATATAATGCTTTATTTAAGCTCATATTTCATAAGCCGGAAAGTTTTGGTGGTGAATAATGCTTTACATGTTTCTTTCAAGTTAATGAATACACGAACTCATATTAGTCGAGACCAGATCATCTGCGATAGAAAGCTCTATCCGTGTCACGGGCACCATCTCTCGCAAAGGGACTCCGGCTCCTTCTTCTGGATAGACTCTCACGTGATTTATCATGCCTGGGGTTTTGGCTTTCGAGGTGATCATGCCTATCAGTACTAAGGTTGATGTTGTTATCCCTTTCGTGAGAATAATCAACTGCATTTGTGTTAACATGAGCATGAACGTGTGAATCCACATAAATGCCGGGTCGCCCACCTGGACGGTTATAATCTCTTTCACGTCCAATTCTGCCCATGTTACCAGAGTGCCATTGATGTGCTGATGCAGGAGGTTTTGGGGGTAAGCCACCTCTACGCCAAGGACCTGAGTGTGACTCCTCAGCCAGCCTAGCTTGTGATGTGTGCGATTCGGCGAGTCGATTGTCGGAAGAACGAGCCTGAGAATGTCCATGGCCCGCACTGGGATGCGGCCTGCTCGAACGGACGGCACTGGGAAGACGGCTACTCTTATTCTCGGCAACAGGCGGTCTGATACCAGATGCAGTAGTCCAGCTTCCATTTGTAGCCATTGCTATGGAACCTCCAGTGGGTGCAGGGGGCATTACGGCTCTGTTGCTCCGAAATCTTCTTCTGTCAAGTTCGTGAGAATCTTCGAACGATGGCAGCTCACCGGGACGTGCAGGTAATGGTGGATCAGCAAAATAGGGATGATTTAATGCATCAATGGCATTGATTCTCTTTTTCCAATCAAGCCTCAGAAGCTCCCCTAATAAGGAAACCGCATTGGAGCTTTGGCTATGTAGATGTTAGAACCTTGCGGTTGATAGTTCATGTTGAAAGGAAAGGAAACACCCATACTCTCTGAAAACCTCAGACAACCTCCCGGGTCTGTTTCCAAAGCTCTTTACACCATCACATCCAGGAAGCAAAGACCATCCTGGCATCGTCTCTTCGGTAGGTGAGCCGACTAAATTGAAGATAAGGTGAGCTTGGTTGAGATCACTGTTTCCAGCGAGAATCGGTTTCCCTTTGAACATCTCGCCGAAGACACAACTGGCCGTTGTCAGAAAGGTGTTTGACTCATCACGGCAAGTAAAGCGTGCTCTCACCCGACACCCCACATATCAATTGCTGTAGTGTAACGCCGAAGTTGAAGAAGAAGCTCCGGAGGGCGGTACCAGCGAGTCACAACAAGAGTGGTGTAATCTCTTTTTGCTTCTCCGCCACCTTTCCCGGGTTGAGGAGGAGACTCCTCATATGGGCGAGCCAGACCAAAATCAGCAATTTGAAGAACACCCTGATTGCTGATGAGTAAATTGGCCGCTTTGACACTATTAGCCACCCACGTCAATTCCTGTTCGAACATGGCGAATCTAACCTTTCATGTCGCGGTGCAAGATAGAGTTCTGGAGCAGGTTAGAATCATGACTTTGACCACTGGATAGATGGATTGTACCGCGTGCAGATATTTAAGCCCTTCCAGAAGTTGTAACATATAGCACTTGATCTGGGCTTCAGTAAAACGGACACTCGGATTCTCTAGCAACCCTGAGAGATCGTGTTCCATGTATGGGGTGACCATATACATGCTTGGCTTCTTTCGGCCTTCCCCTGAAGGATAATTAGTGCGAGCGGACTTTCTAGTAATTGCTTTGGCCTACCTTTGCTGCGTTCCACGGCCATCTCTCTGAGGTGTAAGATATTAGTGTGAGACAACATTTTGAGGAGCTTGATCTCACGGAGAGCGGTTATGGGGAACTTCAAAATGGTAAGTGAGCTTGGTCATATCGCATAGGACAGTCATTCCTTACCCCATCTCTCTCATTGTGCATAAGGATCTTCTTTAGCGCGACAATGGTATTATCTCTCTTCGACCTGGCTTTGTATACCTCCCTGTCCGGGTCTCAATATGCGACACGTATAAAACAGGCTGCTACCGGTACATACCCAAAGGTGCCTTCACCTAATTTGCCCAAGAACTCAAAGTCCCGTATATTGGTACATCCACGAAACCTGGGGCTCCCATTCCCGTCTCTCTCAAGAGAGGTCGCAACCATTCTCGAGAATAGCTACCCTGATCGACAGCAAGAGACGGGGCCCTAAAATGCGATAAGCCCAGTGCTTGTCTCTTCCTTGGAAACATTCAAAGGTTTGAGTCGGCAGATGAAATTTCATGTGTGTGACATGCAAAAGTAAGGGCCTTATAACACTTTGATAGTGGCGATGTGTGTGGTATCGGAGCACGGTATCGGACTTTCAAGCCGGGTAAAATAAAAGAAGCACTCTAATGGAAATTGGACGATATGAAGGACTTGACGTCAACATGACAATTTACACATAGATTTGACTGCCAGAGATGTAAACACTGAGCATTGCGAAGGCTCAATAAGTGCTTGTCCTTAATATTGCAGGTCTGGCCCTCAGCGGAGTGCCTGGCGCCCGCAAACATTTCAGAGTGTCCTGAGTCACATGACATATAAGCGTTCCCGTGACGTCCGAACTGCAGACATCATAGGCATCTTCGGAAGACTCACTCTATCTATCGTGCACTTTCCAGCATAAACTGGGGAGATTGTCCATCACGCTTAACTCCGAATCAACCAGAAAGTATGTTTTCGTGGAACCCCATAAACTCCACTCAACTAGCTAACGTATGCAATATAGACATGGCGTCAAGTCATCCTATCCATGTTCATCCCGCACGACCTCTGTATCGCTTTACGGCTACGGCGTTGGGAGCTAGCATGTGGTTTTTCGTAAGTGAATTCATGATTCTCATCGTCTCAGAACGTCACTGATAACATCCTCCATCATTATAGTTAATGTACAGAGCCAAGAAAGATGGACCCGCCCTCTTAGGCTGGAAGCACCCTTGGGATCATTGAGGGCGCAATGGGCTACTGTATCAACCACTTCGCTGAGAGACAAATACAAATGAGCCGGACGGACATATCTTGAGTTGTATAGTCGAAGAAATAACTGGACCAGCCAAGCGGGTTTGTGGCCTCGTCATGTCTCAACTCTGGAATCGAGACAAGTTACAGGCTTATCGGAAACTGCAATAGCTCTTTCTATTCATCAACCTGGACCATTGCCCAGAGAATGCGATCTAATTTCGCATTTCCTCGAGTAGCATCTTGTATCGACGGCGTTTCTTCGACTGACCTGGTCGTAGTTTTTGATGTAACTTCCCCACCCTGCGAGCAAGGTTGGGAAAAAATCTTCTTTCTGCCGTCCAAGCAATGAGGAAGCTTCCGCTAACAACTGCGAGCAACTGCCAAGCAAAGTAGTCTGGGAGAGACGTCAACTGCATGACACGTCTGAGCCACTGAGTCGGTCTGAAAAGCATGTAGCATGAAAAGAGTAGAGTCATTAGGACCATGATCAGGTATGGTTCTAAGGATAGTCAGCTTCTATCTTTTAAAGTGTTGACAGTCATTGAATGAGACTAACTGTTTGAAATCATCGGCTTGCGAAATGGCGGTCCGACGCTGAGCACGACGCTCGACAATATGTATTGGAAGCTAGAGACCAGGAAAAGTACAGTATTTGCAGAATTCTCGATGTTATCCTCTAAGCCCGCGCGGGGAGGGTTGAACCTGGGAAGTGGATCAGCAAATCTTCGGTACATGCATTACTTCATGAAAAGCATGAATTTCGACGCGTACCAGGGTTGCAGCTGGACATATTTGTATGCCACAAGCTGCGTAGCTACACAAATGGTAATCTGACCGAGCAATGGAATCAGAACTTTGCGTGAGACGAGGTCGGCGGTAGGCCGCTTGCGAGAAAGTATAGGATGGGGGTCAGTCCATCCCACTTGAATTTCATTAGTATATGCTTTGATTTTGTAGGCGAAATGCAACTTACTAAAGATCGCAATCGGTAGGATCAGAGATAGATCAATGAAGAGGAACTTATGCTAGTCAGTGACGATACTCGCATGGTCGTTATGGTGTGAAGCATGTACCTGGAAATCACCAAGATTTGACGCTGACGCATACAATAGGCTCACAGTCGCAAACTGTATGGCCGAGTAAAGACTCATGTACTTGAAGCAACAGAAGCTGGTAACCAAGGCACCTCTTCCTTCCCTAAAATAAATTTAGCAGCGAGCTCCCTTGACACTAGGCAACATGTTCTTTACCTAATAAGCGTGGGTACACATGAGATATCGAATTGGCGACTGGTGAACGGGGCAGCAACAGAGGCTTCAGCATCGGATAATGATATACCGACGTCAGCAGCTTTCAAGGCGCCGCAATCATTTGCGCCGTCGCCACAGAATCCACAACAGTAGTCGAGGGACTGCAGCTTTTCAACAAGTTCATGCTTCTCATCTGGCGACATTCTGGCGAATACGCTGCCACGCACGAGCATCTATAAGTATGTTTGTTAGACCCGAATTATAGCAGATGCCACTGCCGGCACTAGTCGTCGCTTTATTTACACATACTCTGTTCAGAATTGTTTCGCTGCCGAAGTCAATTGCCCATCGGAAAACTTCGCCACTGACAGCAAGAGAGTAATTATTTAGGTTGGAAACATTGCCCGGCACCGAAAGGTCAATGCTTGCTGCATTTACATGGGGCTTTCCAAATCAGCGAAAGCCACCAAACAAGACACTTGAGTCATACCATAAGTGTAGTCGAGTCAAGCCTGATTGCTGGATCATCGACGCTTTCCCAACAAAGCGAAGCACCCGTATCATGTCCATTCCCTATAAGTAGAATTAGTAGAAATGTACTTAGACAGAGCAATCGCAGCAGGACGAGCTAACCTTGCGAAAAATGAGGAACAAAACAATGTTCATTGCTACTGACCAACCCACACTCACGAGCTACACTAACTGCCGTGAGTATGTTATCACCTGTGCACATGACGTTGCGTATGCCTGCTTGATTGAGTTCAGTGATAGTCCCTGCAGTCTTCGGCTTAAGCTTATTCTCAAATATAATGAACCCGAGAAATTCAAGATCACACTCAGCATCATGACGAGTCATTTTCTGAATTTTCATCCAGCTTAGCTTTGGCGCATGCTTGGCAGCGCAGGCAATAACGCGATAGCCTTTGTGTGTATAGTAGCTCAAAAGCTCGTCATAATCACGGGGCACTTGAGAGTTACTTTTAGTAGTGTTTGACAGAGTGGATTGGGATACTGACAGCTTCCTGGGCGACATATAGCCTTAACACTTTCTGGGGCACCTTTTACGAAAGTGCTTGCTCCAGAATCACCGAATCGGCGTACAATGACAGTTGCACGACGTAGCTCTGAGACAAATTCAAAGTTGCGCAATATGCCCAGCTCTACATGTGCCTGTTGAGTATCAGCATCCTGCTTTAGTGAGTCGGAATATTATATGAGATGTTGCCATACGTGTGGGCTTTGCTCCTGGTGGGAACCAGCAAGGGTGTCAGTGGGCTCTGGAGGTTTTGCGATAGATGGCATGATTCTCTCAGAGTCTGACCGCTCAACATGACTTCCTCCCTCTATAAAAGACCATCCAGTGAACTGAAACATTTTGACATCGAGAGGGTCACCCAATAATTCACCATCAACCACTCTCAGAGAGTGGCATGTTGCCATGGTGTAGAGGATATTATCGTGACGAGTGTCTCTCTGTATAGTAGTTCTGTCCGCCAGGGATGCGGTATCGAAATAAATGGTAGAGATCAATCCGGAGAAGCTGCAGCATAGTCAATAGAAGCACAAAGGACAAGTAAATACGTATTTCCCAAACCTCGCATTTTTGTCGGCGACCCGAATCCCGAGTACGTCTAGTCCGTCCTCAGTGAGGGTTCCAGTTTTATCAAAACAGATTATATCTAGCTTTCCGCCCACATTGACCCTAAACAATATTAAACCAAGTCCTCAAGACTGGAAACTCAGACTTCTCACCTCTGTGGACTGATGCAGAATATTTTATGATTCTTCAGTCTTGAAAGAGCAAAATTCGTTCCTATACTCAATGTAGCAGGCAGCGCCGGAGGCACGACGATTGTGATCAGATCCAGTGCTCGGACAATAATGAATTGCCAAGGAAGCTTGTCTGTGTTAGCAACGATAAGTTCGGTAGTACAGTGGGATTCCCTTACTCCTAAGCGGATGAAGTTCACAAAAGAAGCAATGAACCCTAGAATAGCGATGATACCCATAACTGAGATATACCGGAATGAATCCCGATAAAACTTGAAGCCCGAGGGCTTAGGAAAGAGCATTGACCGGATAAGGGCGCCTTTAGTTGTGAGAAACCCAGTCCTCACAACAACTGCTAATGCTATAGCTTCATCATCATCGACATTCTGTGGGCGCCGTGCCCTTATTACCTTCGTACCACTAAAAAGAAAGTGCTTTGCAAGGTTGGGATTGATAGAAGGGCCAGTTAGGTTCAGATACTTCAGTGCATCATCGGTAAGAGGAAGTTTCGTGACTGGGACAGATTCACCTGTTATGCATTAGTCCAAGTTCTCAAGAAGGCAGGCATGTTTTTCAGACCTGTCAGCATGCTTTCGTTGACTATGCAGTCACCAGACAACAGTATACAGTCACAAGGAACTTGCGTGAGGGACGGATCCGAGAATTCGTAGACATCGCCAGGGACAAGCTCTCGGGAAGGAATAGATCTCCCTGTAAGTTAAGACATGAGCATATTTCTGGCACGTGGAAGATGAGCCACACATGGGTCCACCTACAGAATCCATTGCGAAGAACACGGGTGTCGCATTCAAATAGTGATAGCTCTCTTAAACGATTCATTGTCTGAAGGAAAATAAGCACCCATGAAGACAGCGACAGGCCCACGCAAACGCACCGCTTTTGTTTCAATGACAGTAGCACCAATGCTGATGAGTGAAATGAGAAATATGCATACAGCATAATAGTAATATTCATCGAGCGACCAAAGTACAAGGCTTGCTAGCTGGAAGATATAGAATGGGTGAAAAGCCTATAAAGTCAGGTGTCGGCGTGGAAAAGCTCAAGGATTTCACACTTACCTCATCCATAAGCAGTTGAAACGCAGGCTTCTGCTGAATGTCAATGAGATTTTTCCCGAATATTTGTTCGCGATCGTCACGATCATCGGCATCCAGCCCGAGTCTCATTCCTTTTACATTTGTCCATAGGGGATCTTTCCACCCATTCACCAGGCAGAATTTATCCTCGAGCGGATTATAAAAGAAGCGAAGATATCTGTAATCAATGCGTCTCACTTGGGCAATGGTGGGGTCATTATCTTCGTCGTATGAATGGCAGTCAGGATCGGCGAAAATCGTAGACAAGGGGCGTCCATAATCTTGACTGTCGACTTGCTGTACTTGAAATCGATTCCATTGATCCTGACGCTAGATCAGCAACAGATAGATAGATCTCGGAAGTAAAGCTGCCTACCTCAATCGCAACCCACTTACAAGCACAAAGAGGAGCTGGTTTACCTAAGAGGCGAACGCGCCATTTTGGAAACCATCGAAAGAGCAGGTAAGCGAACCCGAACGACAATGCACACAATATGTAATAGAGTACAAGACCAGTGATGCTTGTCGAAAACCCCGCAATCACAATGGTAAGATCTTCTGAGGTGATGTGGACTTTCTGGCTTGTTATACTTTCGCCTGTCCAATTTTGTACGTACGAGGCAACAGATAATGACCGCCGTAGCAGGGGGTCTTCAACTGAGCCTCTTGAATAGGATTGGCGCTTAGAGGACCGTATCGATTCATTTGTGTCATTTAAGCCAGTCACGGACACATCGTCCATGTCGCTTTCGACGTCCAATGCGTCCTCGGGTGGCCACAATGTGTGATCCTCATCGTCGTGAAAATATGTAAAGCTAGTGGTAGAGTCTTTCCGATCTCGACGGTGAGAGAATGAGACAACGCTTGATGGTATACTCTCTGACATTGGACCATCATAAACCTAGTTGGGTCAGTGATACGTAGCGAAACAGTTTCCCTCGCGACATACCTCACTACGAGCCATTTCAACCTCGGATACAATGCTATAGCTAGAAGACCGTTAGCAAGGAAAAAGAGACGGTTGAGTCTGGTGTCAAGGACCTGCTTCTCATGGAATTGCGCCGGTTTTCTGAACCGGGCAAATAGACCTCGGATGGCTGCGACTGCCCTTGACGATCCTCCATGTTTATTGATGCGCCCTGCTGCTCTGCTTCTCGGTGCTCAATGGGGCTGTTTGTCTCAGTGATAGTGTCTGCGAGGCTTGTGATGACAGCGACCAACACGGAGAATATGTCAACCTAATCCATAACGACAGTTGGTTGGCTGATTGTTTTGGTGGCTACTGAGGGTCTATGTAATGTTGGAACAGGAAAAAGTTGCTTTAGTCATTAAGCGTGTGTTGGATTAAGTCATAGCCCAGCAGTAGTAGAGTGAACGGGGTCTTTCGGAGATAGATAAGTTCCTTATTTAGGTTTTTACGTGTTCCGTAATACTGTACTGTACGTACTCCGTACTAATGAGACACATCAATACACATGCTTGCTGCTCAAACTTCCCTGATAAGACCACTGCTTAAACTGCAGAACGCCATACCTACCTTCATCGCTGACGCTGCCCCATGTGTCTCCAAAGAGTCTCTTTTATATATATGGGCAGAAGGTGGTCTACAATAATAGCAACAAAACCGAACGTGAAAAGGGAGAAGAAGACAGTCGGAGGAGAAGGAGAAGGGGAAGCAGGAGAGAGAGAAAGAGAGAAAAAGATTCTTATGTGTAGCAGAAGTTGTAGAGATCGGAGTGATACCTACCATAATTTATACCCTAGCACCCCTTAGAAAAAGGCTTCGACGCAATTATGTTTTCAGAAATGCCGGAAGGCTAATCTGGATTACTGTTTTCTGTATGAAGTCAATGTGTTACGGGCACTATAATAGACAAATCAGTTATAAAGAATATAAAGAAAGTATGTAGAAAATGAAGTCCAACAAATTACCCCGGTACGGTCTGCTCTAATCAGCAGTAAAATAGGAGATTTGTGGTTGATCAAGAGTTCCTGTGTAGTTAATGCTAAAGGCGAGAAAATACGGAGTAGAAGTCAGTAACTAACATTTATTGTTGGGAGTACCGAGCAGTCCTCAACAGCCAGCACTTTCGTCCCGCCAAGCCCCTCGGCCCAAGGGCGCTAATAATCCCACCAAGCCAGTATTCCAGACCTCGCAAAACTTGGGTGTATCAAAATCTTCCTCCACACTCGCCTTTACACACCTTTCAGCCAACTCAGCTCTGTACTCCCCAAAATAGTTTCCTCTGCTTGTCATATCACGATGTCTGAACCCATCAGGAACAAGAAAGCGGATATTCCGATCGCGCCGTAAGTTTTTTTGAACCATCTAACTGAATCTCAAATTTGCCGCATGCTAGGATTCGATTTCTGATGATGCGTGACACCATAGGACACCTCAAAACACTCCAGCTAATAATGCTCCTATCTCTTCCCATGCCCAGCAACCTGGAATTGCCAGCATCAAAGAAGGTAATTGAATGCATGGACTATCGCCTCCCTTGGTGATTCACCAGACGCTCATTTATCTCTATAGAGTCCCTTGACCATGCTACGGCCGCTTCTCTTTTCGCACGCAATCCGGGTCTAGTCTCCATGATTCAAGGGAAACTGGGCTCTCTCGTCGGCCGCTCTTCAGGCTACATCGAGTCCCTACCCGTATCGGTTCGCCGACGAGTTGCTGGACTGAAGGGTATCCAGAAGGAGCATGCTAAGCTGGAGGCTCAGTTCCAGGAAGAAGTGTTGGAACTCGAGAAGAAGTATTTTGCGAAATTCACCCCTCTTTACCAGAGACGTGCCACAATAGTTAATGGTGATACGGAGCCTACTGATTCGGAAGTCGCGAATGGCCGCGAAGAGGAGGAAGACGCCGAGGTCGAAGGCGAAGCTAGCAAAGATGAAGCCGATAATTCAACAACAGCTGGAATCCCTGAGTTTTGGCTATCGGCCATGAAGAATCAAATTTCCCTTGCGGACATGATCACTGAACGCGATGAAGAGGCTCTGAAATATCTCACCGACATTCGGATGGAGTATCTTGATCGCCCTGGATTCCGACTTATCTTCGAGTTTTCTGAGAATCCCTTCTTTTCGAACCAATCCATCTCGAAAACCTATTATTACAAGGAAGAGAATGGGTACGGAGGTGATTTCATTTATGATCATGCGGAAGGCACCAAGATCGACTGGAAAGCGGACAAGGATCTTACCGTACGGATCGAGAGCAAGAAACAGAGAAACAAGAGTATGTCACCACGTGCTGAAGTCTCTACCTGTCACTAACATCTCCAGATACCAAACAAACCCGTGTTGTCAAGATAACTGTTCCCACGGAGTCGTTTTTCAATTTCTTCTCACCCCCACAGCCCCCCACCGATGATGACGATACTGTCGCCACTGATATCGAGGAGCGTCTCGAACTTGACTATCAACTTGGAGAAGATATCAAGGAGAAGCTTATCCCCAGAGCAATTGATTGGTTCACCGGGGAGGCTCTTCAATTCGAGGAACTAGGTGACGACATGGACGAGGATGAATTTGATTTGGAGGATGATGAAGACGATGAAGACGATGACGATGACGATGACCGGGAGACTGATCGTGATGTCGATGAGGACTCAGATGAAGAGGTATGACTGGTTCTGATCATTTACCATTAACGCATGTTCATATGCTGACACTGTGGGTAGGACGGTACTTCTAAGCCGAAGAAGGAGGCAGCAGAATGCAAACAAAGCTGAGCAGGGCGGCTTGATCTGACGCAGCCATAAGAAGTGTATCTCAGTCACGACTGGACTTATACGCGCTTGGTTGTCTCAGCCGATTCCTTCTACGCCCGTGCGCCTCTAGTTCGATTTCTAATATTGCCTCAAATTGTGTCTCCTATCATATGCCTCTTACTCCTAATCTCTTTTTATGTTCATGCACTAGCAAAGTTCTCAGATACAAACATCTTAAAGTCTTAAATTTCATGGGTCTGCGCCGACGCATGTATCTTCGTTAGCGAGTCTCTTAATAATCTTTCGCCGTCAAATTAGGATACTGGCCTCTGTTAAATTCCCAGGTTGCTTGGACAGTCAGAGCTTACTTTCATTCCTGGTGTTTAATTAATTGTTTCTATGATTTTGCAAAAATAACCAGCAATAGCGGAAGAGAAGACTTTGCCAAAGAAGCTCATTATCAAAAAAGCTCTTTTCATTGGAGCGGAGGTGTTGGGTGAATGCCATGTTCAGTTCGAGAGGGTCATCGCAATATCTCTGTTCACCACACCGCTAATTGCAATAATGGTCGATATGTACGTAAGACGGAAAATTAGTCGCAGCATGCTCAATGCACAAGATTGAAACATCATGGTTAGATCAGAACATGCATCTAAGGTTCAGTTAACGAGAATATACGTCATTTCTCTTCACTTTGATCTTAGAGGCAGACAAAAATAGTAGATTTGTATCAACGAAGGCCTTTCAGTAATGATGATGACCCTTGGCATTGGCTTTGACAACTGTGGAGAGTGTCTCGATAAGTGGCGCGGCCGTCCAGGCCCGCCTCAGGGGCTGCGGCTCGCGGCTCGCGGCTCCGGGCTCGGTAACGCCAGCTGTTAGCCAGTTCAATAATTTCTCCCTGGAGGAGAGCATGAAGACTGTCTTCTTTATCAAACAAACCTCCCCTGATCTTCCGCGTGTCAAGGCTATGATTCTCTGACGTCTGGATTGAACTCGACTATCTCCTTTTTTTGTTTTTCGCTAGATGCATGCGACATCGGCCATCCATACAAGATTGTCCAAAGTCTTACACTGGTAGTTTTCTGGCCCAATCTTGTTCAGGATATCGTCTTAAGTGTCAACAAAGTTGTTAAATGGCTCACAATTACGAGGTGGGCACGAGGGCCTGGCAGCCCGATCCGACCGAGGGCTGGATTGCGTCTGAGGTGAAGGAGAAGCATGTAGATGGAGACAAGGTGCAACTCATCTTTGCCATAGAAAATGGAGAGGTACGTTACCATTATTCGCATCTTTGCGAGTCATCAACGCAGGAGGCTAAAATTTATCTGGGTTTAGACAAAAACCTTCGAAACCAGTCAAGCTGAATTGCAAATTGACAACAACCCGAACTTGCCTCCGTTGATGAACCCTGCCATGCTGGAGGCCAGTGAGGATCTCACAAATTTGTCGCACCTGAATGAGCCTGCTGGTAGGTATCAATCTTGCAGCCATACGCAATGGTAACTGAAACCCGTGAAGTCCTCCAGGCTATAAAATTACGTTATGCACAGAAAGAGATTTATACCTACAGTGGTATCGTCCTTATTGCTACGAATCCCTTCGCCCGGGTCGACTCCCTCTATGTTCCGCAAATGGTGCAAGTATACGCTGGCAAACACCGAGCATCTCAAGCACCTCACCTGTTTGCCATCGCCGAAGAAGCATTTGCGTAAGAGCCGATCCTTCGTTCGATCTGTCTCCCCAGCTCACATAATCTGCGCAGCGATATGCTACGAGATGGTAAGAACCAGACCATTGTCGTTTCTGGAGAGTCAGGGGCCGGAAAAACCGTCAGTGCAAAGTATATCATGCGGTATTTTGCAACCCGCGAGTCCTCCGATCAGCCTGGCAAGTACACCACAAGTCGGGCTGATGCAATCAGTGAGACCGAAGAGCAGATCCTAGCCACCAATCCTGTCATGGAGGCTTTTGGAAACGCCAAAACAACACGCAACGATAATTCGTCGCGCTTCGGAAAGTACATCGAAATCATGTTCGATGACAAGACCAATATCATAGGTGCAAAAATCAGGACTTATCTTCTGGAAAGATCTCGCCTGGTGTTCCAACCTCTCAAAGAGCGGAATTACCATATCTTCTACCAGTTGGTAGCCGGTGCAACGGATATAGAGAAGCAGGACCTTGGTTTGACTTCGATTGAAGATTTCGATTACCTTAGTCAGGGCGGGACGCCGACGATTGATGGCGTTGACGATCGCACAGAGTTTACTGCGACCAAAAAATCCCTAAGTACCATTGGCGTGCCTGAGAAGACTCAAGTGGAGATCTTTCGGGTCCTCGCAGCCTTGCTTCATCTCGGAAACGTCAAAATTACTTCCACAAGGACTGACTCCAATCTGTCATCTTCGGAGCCTTCTCTTATGCGAGCCTGCGATATGCTGGGAATCGATGCCATCGAGTTTGCAAAATGGATAGTGAAAAAGCAGCTGATCACGAGGGGCGAAAAGATCACGTCTAATCTCACACAACAGCAAGCAATCGTCGTGAGGGACTCTGTTGCCAAGTTCATTTACTCGAGTTTGTTCGACTGGCTTGTTGATAAAATCAACCGTGGTTTGGCTACTGATAATATCTTGAGCAACTTCAAGTCCTTCATAGGCGTCCTAGATATTTACGGATTTGAACACTTCGCAAAGAACTCCTTCGAGCAGTTCTGCATCAACTACGCCAACGAGAAATTACAGCAGGAATTCAATCAGCACGTCTTCAAACTTGAGCAAGAAGAATACATACGCGAACAGATAGATTGGACATTCATTGACTTCTCAGATAACCAGCCTTGTATTGATTTGATTGAAGCGAAACTGGGTATTTTGTCACTTCTGGACGAAGAGTCTCGACTACCCATGGGCTCAGATGAACAATTTGTGACGAAACTTCATCATAATTTTGCCGCGGACAAACAGAAATTTTATAAAAAACCACGTTTTGGCAAATCTGCGTTCACGATCTGCCATTATGCTGTTGATGTAACATATGAATCTGACGGGTTCATAGAGAAGAACAGGGATACTGTGCCAGATGAGCACATGGAAATTCTGCGCAGCTCATCCAACGAGTTTGTGAAAGAAATTCTTGATACCGCTGCCGCTGTTCGCGAGAAGGATTCAGCTTCTATCTCTTCCAAGCCTGTTGCTGCGCCTGGGCGCAAGATTGGAGTTGCTGTCAACCGCAAGCCTACTCTTGGTGGTATCTTCAAGTCGTCATTGATTGAGCTTATGAACACGATCAACTCGACAGATGTTCACTACATCCGCTGTATCAAACCGAATGAGGCCAAAGAACCGTGGAAGTTTGAAGGTCCAATGGTTCTCAGTCAATTGAGAGCTTGCGGTGTTCTCGAAACTGTCCGCATCAGTACAGCAGGATACCCAACGCGCTGGACTTACGAAGAATTTGCTATAAGATACTACATGCTCTGCCATTCGTCGCAATGGACGTCGGAGATTAGAGATATGTGTCATGCCATTCTACAGAAGGCTCTTGGTGACGGCACTCAGAAAAAGCAAGACAAGTATCAGCTAGGCCTGACAAAAATCTTTTTCCGCGCTGGTATGCTTGCTTTTCTTGAAAACCTCCGCACATCCAGGCTCAATGAATGCGCAATAATGATCCAGAAGAACCTGCGATGTAAGTACTACCGGCGCAGGTATCTTGAGGCTCGTGCCTCTATCCTTACAACTCAAGCTCTGGCGAGGGGCTTTCTTGCGAGACAACATGCGGCTGAGATACGTAAGGTCAAAGCAGCTACAACCATTCAACGGGTGTGGAGAGGGCACCGGGAAAGGAGGAACTACACTCGAATTCGCGCCAATTTCGTACTTTTCCAGTCAGTCGCGAAAGGATTCCTTTGCCGACAAAACATCCTGGATACAATACATGGCAACGCAGCGAAAGTAATACAACGATCTTGGCGTTCTTGGTGTCAGTTACGCGCATGGAGGCAGTACCGCCGGAACGTTATAATCGTTCAAAATCTCTGGAGAGGCAAGCAGGCCAGGAAGCAATACAAGAAGCTTCGGGAGGATGCAAGAGATCTGAAACAAATCTCCTACAAACTCGAGAACAAAGTGGTAGAATTGACTCAGTATCTCGAATCACTGAAGCGTGAGAACAAGGCTCTGAACTCACAATTGGAGAATTATGAGACTCAACTGAAATCTTGGAGAAGCCGTCACAATGTCCTCGAAAACCGTTCTAGAGAGCTACAGGCCGAGGCCAATCAAGCTGGTATCACTGCTGCTCGGTTGACCGCTTTGGAAGACGAAATGAACCGGTTGCAGCAAAATCATAATGATGCGCAAGCAACAGTCAAGAGACTTCAGGAGGAGGAAAGGATATCACGAGAGTCAATACGTTCTGCACACCAAGAGCTGGAGCGATTACAGCAGCTGAATAGTGAAGCAGAGGACGAAAAAGCTTCGCTTCGTCAACAAATTGTGGAACTCGAGGAACAGCTCGAGGTTGCAAAACGAACCGTTCCCATGAATGGCTTGAGTGGTGATCAACCGAACGGTGGGCCAACCCCACCTCCTGCGACCGGCTTGATCAACCTGGTGTCCTCGAAAAAGCCCAAGCCTAAGCGACGCAGCGCTGGTGCTGAACGGATTGACACCGATCGTTTCAGTGGAGCTTACAACCCGAGACCAGTCTCCATGGCTATCCCGAGTTCCGCAATGGGACGTCAGCCGTTCACCGGCAATACATTCTCTCCAGGACTGGATTCTGTTGAGGTAGAGCTTGAGAATCTACTATCTGAGGAAGATGAACTCAATGAAGAAGTGACGATGGGCCTGATTCGCAACTTGAAGATCCCACTACCCAGTTCTACACCGCCTCCTACAGAGAAGGAGGTTCTTTTCCCGGCATACCTTATCAATCTTGTAACCTCAGAAATGTGGAACAACGGATTTGTGAAAGAATCGGAGCGCTTTTTGGCCAATGTCATGCAGTCTATACAGCAGGAGGTTATGCAGCATGACGGCGACGATGCTGTTAATCCTGGGGCTTTCTGGCTCTCTAATGTACACGAGATGCTCTCGTTCGTGTTTTTGGCCGAAGATTGGTACGAAGCCCAGAAGACCGATAATTTCGAGTATGACCGCTTGTTGGAGATCGTCAAACATGACCTAGAGAGCCTAGAGTTCAACATCTATCATACCTGGATGAAAGTGCTGAAGAAGAAGCTCTTCAAGATGATCGTACCGGCGATCATCGAATCCCAATCACTTCCGGGTTTTGTCACAAGCGAGACAAACCGATTCCTTGGCAAGCTTCTTCCATCCAACAACAATCCTGCGTATAGTATGGATAATCTTCTCAGTCTCCTGAACAATGTCTACAAAGCGATGAAAGCTTTCTATCTTGAGGAGTCTATCATCACTCAAACGGTGACCGAACTTCTTCGACTCGTGGGTGTTACCGCTTTCAATGATCTTCTTATGCGAAGAAACTTTTTGTCCTGGAAACGTGGGCTACAGATCAACTACAACATTACCCGCATTGAGGAATGGTGTAAGAGCCACGATATGCCTGAAGGCACACTGCAGTTGGAACATCTAATGGTAAGCATATCTGGCCACTATTCGATATGAGAGGGTGCTGACCCAATCCAAAGCAAGCAACCAAGCTCCTACAATTGAAAAAGGCCACCCTGAATGACATAGAGATCATACAAGACATCTGTTGGATGTAAGAACATCTTACCAGTCTTCGCCTTGCTACACCGAATTCACAAGATACTGACCACCATATATCAAGGCTGTCTCCGAATCAGATACAGAAGTTACTGAATCAATATCTTGTTGCTGACTACGAACAGCCTATCAATGGCGAAATCATGAAAGCGGTTGCGTCTCGTGTCACCGAGAAGAGTGATGTGCTTCTTCTTACTCCCGTTGACATGGAAGACAGTGGTCCCTATGAAATCGCAGAGCCGCGTGTCATCACGGCATTGGAGACGTACACACCGTCCTGTAAGTGAGATTCGAAGGCTGTGGCCGCCGCAAGCCTCACTGACATTTTTAAAGGGCTACAAACACCGCGACTGAAACGGCTTGCCGAAATAGTATCAGCACAGGCAATGGCTCAACAGGAAAGGTTGGATATGACAGAAACTAGCGAGGGAGCGATCCCTGCCAAATAACTCGTACATTGGAAATAGCCCTATCACATCATAATGGCCACCTGGTGAAAACTTCAGGGACTAGCAGCCCTGATTACCCGCTCTTTAAATCAGCAAAAGTGCACCATCATCTTTCGTCGATTTCTACTCAAAGCTGATCATCACGTGCTTTCCCTGCCTTTCTCTCCCACATTCTAAATTTCTCTTCATTATATATTACCATTGCATCAACAATACTGTTATCGATCGAGCAATCAAGATTCTGGTTTGCAGAATTGCTCAAACCGCGAATATTCACCCACCAAGGAACGCTCGGACTTCCGGGCTGACTTCTGGGCATACTTGGGGTTTGGAGCGCAGTAGTGCTTGTGGGGTTGTGGAGAAAAGAATTCGTACGTACCCGTCGGCGCTGACCAACGTTTTAACAACAGTACATTTCTTCCATGTTTCCATGTTCTAGTCGTCAATCTCACCCAAGAGTCGTCTCACAGTTAATCAAACTAGCCACATATTTTTCATTGAGAGCATCGCAAACATGGCGCCTCTAAAACAGTTGAATTTCATCACGGGCAACAAGAACAAGTTGGCTGAAGTGAGGGCTATCCTAGGCAGTGTAATCCATGTCGATAGCCAAGCAATTGAAGTGCCCGAAATTCAGGGCACAGTCGAAGAAATTGCCAAGGACAAATGTAGACGTGCTGCAGAAGCGGTAAGCAGCGATCTTCTGATATTTTCGAGGGTTAAATGATATTAGAACAAGGTTGTTCCTGCTGACATGATCGAACAGATTAGAGGTCCAGTCTTGACGGAAGACACGGCTCTGGAGTTCCATGCGCTGAAAGGTCTACCTGGCCCATACATGTAATGTCTTCAGTGCCTGAAAAAGCTTAAGCGTGACATGCTGATGTATGACCAAGCAAATCGTTCCTTGACGCCCTTGGCCACGAAGGGTTGAACCGAATGCTTGACTCATTCGATGTGAAAACAGCAGAGGCCGTCTGTACCTTTGCGTTCTCTGAAGGCCCTGGGTCGGAACCTATCTTATTTCAGGGTAGAACCAAGGTAGGATTGACTAAAACATGCCATCGGGATTTGCAACTGACGCCAGCTGTGAAGGGAGCTATTGTCCGCCCAAGAGGCCCCGCAAACTTTGGTAGGTGTACACAGGGACAGACACTCTTTAATCGATCCACTTGTGATTAATTCATGCTTTTTTTTCTAGGTTGGGATCCGATCTTCGAATACCAAGGCAAAACGTATGCCGAGATGGATAAGGATGAGAAGGTACCCTACGGAGTTCCCTCCCCTCCTTTTACTTCTTTGGTCGCTAATACTTGATTAGAATCAAATCTCCCACAGATACAAAGCCCTAGTCAAACTGCAAGCTTGGCTAACCCGTGAAAGATCCTGATCTGATTCTTCCCAGCTGTGATGGAGCCTGTTTGAGGCGATTGAATTTGAATTTAACATGTCAGTAGTAGTCAGTCTGTATTTAGTGCCTGGCTGCTCTTCCAGGACTCTATCCAGCCAGAGATTCGTGCGCAATTGGATTCTACATCGTCATCCTTTTCACTATTTAACTCAACCACAATCTCTTCGTCGAATGATTCGCGGGCTTCCTCGAGAAGAACACCGAATATTTCCGCATCCAGGTTTTCTTGCAGCTTCGCTTGCTTGTAGCCCCTGTAAAAAAATCGAATCATAGTCAGAAACTAGGCTTTCTGTATAAACAAGTTATTGAAGACTAAGGTTTGGAGGTACCTCGATGTTAGACGGTCGTATAGAATGGACGTGGATGGGCAACGTAGAACCACCACGAGATCAACCCAGGACTTGGGGAAAAGATCACAGGCATGCCAATCAATCAAGTAGCCACCTCTCAGCAGTTCCTCTTCGACAGCATCCAGAAGCTGAAATTAAGATTGCTTAGTATGCCGCCAAATATTGAACAGGCGTGAGATCATAAAAAGGACACAAGATATCGGGGACCTATTTTAGACGCACTTTGTCTTCGTCAACAACCCAGGTTTGCAATTCCTGGTCGTAAGTGTCGTAACAGCCCCGGTCTTTCGCGATCTCATTGATCGAAAGATGTCGCAAACCAGTCTCCTCGGCTAGCTGCGCACAGTGAACAGTTTTACCTACACCAGGCGTCCCTGTAATGACTATGTTCGGAGTTGTTCGCATGCTGAAACCTCGCTGTGCAGGTTTTAGTACTGAAGCCTGCTGCGGTGGTCGATAGTCGTCGCAAGGCGAAATTTCTGGTGGCGGTTCAATTGGTTACTTTGCCTTGCGTCGCGGGGCACAATCGGAACAACCCACCAACCGATCTAGCCGGGGGGTTCCAAACCAACTGGTTGCCGGGTATGTAGTACTTTGTACGGAGTACTTGACAGTATAAGAGTTCTCGCACTGGCGTGTGAACATCCTATACACTACTATGTGCGGCAGCTTGACTAATGTAATCATCCAGGAAAGAATGCTATCCGGTTTTAGAGATATTCGGTAGTTATGCTTCAAGTAACCGACAGGGTTGTAACGCATCACTGCTAGGGCGATTCAACCGTCTCTGCTGCCCCATTCTCTGCGGGCGGAGCTACGCTTCAGAGAAAGTGAGACCGTGCCTAGCTAAACCATTGATAATCTGTGATTGAACAGTCTACTCAGATTCGAGACCATCTCTATAGACCTCCGTGGTATATGGTGACCCTTCAACTTTGGCAGGTGACTTGGAGTCTAGGAGAACAAAACTGTTAGTTGGCATTTGTACCGATAGTAGAATGCTGTGACTTACTTGAGAAGTTCGAATGCGGTATATTTTTGGAGGTATGTTGTCCCTCGCCTGTATCCTTTGAGAATCCTGGCAGGGTCGGGGTTCAACCCTGGAGTGTCTTTTAGTCGCTTTATTGCAGGGGGCGCTTTGAACATCGGGTCGAAAACCAATAAGTTTGCACTTCCATTATCACGAATTTCAAACCCAACAATTGTCATAGAGTGTCCTATATAGAGGCTCTCACATGTCAGCTCTTGCGCTTGGGACGGAGAATAAAAGGCGGGGGTTGTCCAAACCCTGGTGCTGAAAATAGATGGGTGGTAAGTCTGTAGAAATGACCTTGTCTTCCCTCTCCAGGTTGCGTGAATCCCGGAAATAGGACGCAACGTTCATGAACAATGCATCATGGGCTCGCATGCTCTCCGTGGGTCCAATGCTATTGGCTACGCAGCTATAACTAGTCAGTTTCTCGTATCTGAGGCGAGGGTGAGATGGGCTAACAACTTACAGTATTCCGAGACTTGAAAATAGCGCTTGAGCCTATGCATGAAACATCAACCGAACTTTCTTTTTCCCGGATGTGGGAGCTGAAGCAGAAACGTATTACCTCAGCTGTGCCAATATATTTTCTGGTCCCCCGAATGCCACCAGTTTCAATTCTTCCTACAATGTTGAATCCCTTGTCCCATGCATTCTCAATCATATCCTGGAGCTGAAGAATTGTAGGCAGTTCCCCAGAAAAGCATTCATACCCCAGTAATCGAGCGTTTTTGATATAAGTGATTAGCATCTGGATATTCCTGTAGCCACAGAAGCCGCCTTCCTTAGGAATTTTTGAGATTTGGTGCACCATGGAGCTACAGAAGAAGGCACGCTGGACAGATTTATCACGATCACATAACCGGGCAAGCACAGAGATCACGTCCGTCAACTCGTTCTCAAAGGTTTCCGCCTTTCGAAGTGCACCGTTAGAAGAAAGGGTGTTGGTCAAAATCGACTTGGGACCTTTTTCAAGCACTCTTCGCAACCACGCGGGCATTTGCTTTTCATTCGCATGGGGCCCTAATTCTGACCGCTATAGAATGGTCAGCTAGATGCATCGCCCGTGAGACAGATGAGCTGTCTCTAAGTATAATAGAAGTAGAGAGCTGATAGGTTCAATACCCCAAGTCGTTTGATGCCTTCAGTAAGAACACAGTTCTCCGGTCCAGCTATTGACACTGTGAGTGATTCGGATCCTCTGAGAGAAAGCTTTGGGAGCGATGAAGTGCCAATGCATTGCTTGTGAGTAGTTCTAGCAGGCTCTGACAGTTCATTTGGCGGGCGAGCCGAGACCTCAAGGGCGGTTTCTTCCGCAGCGTGTAGATCAAGGTGAGACGGCAACTCCGCTTCCATAACAGTCTCGCCACAGTTGCAAGGGCACTCGATGTACCCATCGGTTTGGCCGTCTTGAAAGCCCGACAACGATAATTGCTGCCGATGTTGCATCATGAGAGTTTGGTCTGCATGCTGATGGCTTGCTCTATTACTGGCTCGTATGTCATTATCGGGGTGGCAAGATTCCACATGTTCCATAACAAAATTACTGTCGGCATCAGAGAAGGGACAAAAGGGGCATGTCGGATCGCCATCAGTTGGGTGATCCATGGAGAGTCGATATTCATGGGATAACACTGGAGAAGCGTTTGGCGTTTGACAAAGGGAATCGAAATTAGGCCAAGGGCAATCCTAGCGAACGAGAACTGGAGAGTAATGTTACGCGTCATTAACTAAAGTTACAGTTGCTGTCTGTGGGGCCCCGAGCGGACACTGATAAATATGAATCAACTACAGAATCTCGACAAGCTTGAAGCCCAGTGCCCGGCGTCCGGCGTCCACATGCGCGAGAATATGAGACTGGTGAGGGACGACTACCTAGCGAGGCGTGCGGATATGGAAAATTATCATTGGCGACCAAGATTTTCCAACCTGAGTCTTCGAAATTCACATTCGATTACGATTCCACGTGACATCACCCGCAAATTTCGGTGGGTCTGAAATGTACTGGTACACAGTACTCCGTACTTCTGACCTAAAGGCGAGTAATTTGATTAGATGACTAGCCTGATGGGTCCAAAAAGCAAACAAAGCTTCTGGATGCATATACTGTTTGATTGATGCTAGTGCATCGAAGAGGGATTTGGAGACACGGTCAGAGCCAGTGAGTGACCGTGAGCTATTGTTTGGGGAGATAGTTAATTCGAGGCTTAGAGAGACCTCAGTACGTACAGAGGACTGACAGAATATACTTGTACCACTGGATTTTAAGTGAAGCAGATGACTGAGTTAGTTGGCTCTCTCTGCATACGTGGTTGATTTTCTACCTAGCAGTAGTTGAGGTTGAGTTACTTACTCATAGTAAAGTCGGTTGACTTATAACCTCGTTAACTAGTTAGTTATACTTTAGTTAACTAAGCTCAAATGCCATGACTAATAAACATACTAAGCAATCAGACTTTTTCCCTCCGATATCGTGATCCGCACAATGGAAGGCGGAACAGCAAAAGGTAAAGAATGATTCGCTCACCTTTGTCAATGCTCTGCTCCGCTTTCGCAGACCCCGCCAGGTGCACATAAAAATGGCTGTCCCGCAACCGGAGCCGATCGCAAGGGCATGTTACTGACTTCTTGATTGCAAAGACCCCAAACCTGTTCTCCTAGTTTTCAGTATGAATGATCCGCTAGTCGTCGAGCAAGAGTCCTCATCCATGGTCAGTATTGGCCTCCAGGGCTCCTCTGGCAGCAATTGGGTCGTGCAGAAGTTCGGTGGTACGAGCGTCGGCAAGTTCGCCTTGAATATTATCGACCAGGTCGTTCTGTAAGTGGCCTCAATCTCCTCCTGCCCAGGACAGAGCCCGCCACAGAGATCAGTTAACCTCTTGTATCCAGTCCAAGTCTTTCCGAGCATCGTGTTGCTGTAGTTTGCTCAGCGCGAAGCAGCTCGACCAAAGCTGCCGGTACCACCAATCGGTGAGTCATATTCCTCCCTGAGCAACGATGGCAACCGCAATTGCCCAAAGTCTCCCATCGTTGTGCCCCGGGGGCAGTGTTTAAGTCTCACTGAGCCAGAGTCTAATCAAGTACATCATTGTCAGGTTACTCCGAGCAGCGCGGGATGCGGAAGACGCTCTATCTCAGCAATATGCCTCTCTTGTAGAGGCCGTTCGGTTGGAACATATTCAGGTAGTCGGAGATCAAATCCAGTCAAATACACTCAAGTTACGGCTCGTTTCTGAGATCAATGCGGAATGCGACAGAGTACTCAAGGTGCTGGAGGCTGCGCAAACACTTGGTGAGATTAGCGCAAGGTGCATCGACAAGGTGATCAGTACCGGGGAGAAGTTAAGTTGCAGACTTATGGCTGCTTTTCTCGAAGATAGGGGCGTCAATTCGCAATATGTGGACCTGGCCGAAATTATCGATTTCCCCATTTCGAGCCAGGGCCTTGACCAAGAATTCTATAATAACCTAGCTGCTGCTCTCGGAAGAAAGATCGATAGTTGTGAAGATAGGGTCCCTGTCGTTACAGGATTCTTTGGGACTGTACCTGGCGGTCTTCTTGATCAGATTGGACGGGGCTACACTGATCTCTGTGCTGCTCTTGTTGCTGTGGGCATAAACGCGAAGGAATTGCAGGTCTGGAAAGAAGTTGATGGCATCTTCACAGCCGACCCACGGAAGGTGCCAACTGCACGCCTGCTTTCTGCCATCACACCGGCAGAGGCAGCCGAGTTAACGTTCTATGGCTCGGAAGTGATTCACCCTTTTACCATGGAGCAAGTCATCCGTGCCAAAATCCCTATTCGCATAAAGAACGTCATGAACCCGCGGGGAGACGGTACTGTTATATTTCCCGACTCTTCCAGCGAGCTGGAGAAGACGACCCCCGGCCATGATCCAAGACTGTTTCGTACCCGGAGTCCCAGTCTTGTGCAGCGGCCGAAGCGCCCCACGGCCGTGACAATCAAACACCAGATTCTCGTCATCAATGTACATTCGAACAAACGATCACTCTCTCATGGTTTCTTCGCGGGAATATTCTCTGTGCTTGATCGCTGGAGGCTTTCTATCGATTTGATTTCGACGAGCGAGGTGCATGTTTCAATGGCCCTTCATTCCGAGATGCCCTTGCTGAATGGGACCGGGAGAGACGAATATCAGATCATAGACGATGACCTGAAGGGAGCTATCCAGGATCTTCAGAAGTATGGAACCGTCGATATCATACCAGAGATGGCAATTCTCAGTCTTGTGGGAAAGCAAATGAAAAACATGATTGGAGTTGCGGGACGGATGTTTTCGACTCTGGGCGAAAACAATGTTAATATTGAGATGATCTCTCAAGGTAAGTATCTTTAGACACTTTGCTACTGTCCAATAGCTAATCAACACTGTGTCTCAAGGTGCAAGCGAGATCAATATTTCTTGCGTCATTGAGGAGAGAGACGCCGATCGCGCTTTAAACATAATTCACACCAGCATGTTCACCTTTTTAGACTAGACCAATGCTTTGACGTATGTCTTTCTTTACTTGCTTCATTTGTACTCTCTGTAATTTGCATCCTGGTCTCTGGCAGTATAAGATATCCTTTGCAAATTTCGGTTCGTGAAAAGCTCGATTCTGGTCCACGCTGATCCTAGTCCCAAGTCATGGCTGTTATCTGGGCCCTGACTTGCTTGTTGTTGCTGGTTGCGTGCGAATGTTATTGGTCACCTTAGTTGTCTTGGTTGCGTTTCTCCTCTGCGATCCCTCGACTCATGATGCTTTCCCCGCCCCTCTCATACTTGTCCTGTGTTCCTTGCCTTTGTGGTGTGCATGTGTCGGCGCTATGTATTACAAGAGTCTTTTCGGATGATCATGTTTCTACTGCATCTTGTCAAAACAGGACCGACAGAACTTTTAGATGATTACGAAATAGAACAATCATGTTTGTTTTCTTGTCTACTATTGGGTAGACTGAAGCTTGAAAGATGCGCCAGAGGTCTGCAGGTGTTCTGCTGTAGAGCGGGATAAGTGCTCTATTGCCTATAAAACGTACGCACGGGTGGAAGGTCATTGAAATTACTCAGTGCGAATGAATTAAGAAATCATAGCCAACGGCATAAGTGACTCATTACATACAGTAGTATATATGTACATCTCACTAAATGAACTGGCAGGCCTCTGGTTGATGAAGATCCCAAACTGCAAAATTAGATGAACAAGTCTGGTTCCTCAATAATGCGCCCTTACAGATGCATTGACCTTGCACCCAAGGACTTAGGTGCAAGAAAAACTCCCACAAATGCAGTACAATAGATCAGCCCGAGTGCGGAAGTGGAAGCACAGGGTGTTTTCATAGGACTCCGAAGTAGGTCCCCACTCGTACACACAGGTCCATATATACATTTATACCTTACCTTAAAAACCGAGGTCGACTGGAGTCATATAACTATAAGTAAAGAAGGGATGGGAGCCGCTGGGTTAGATCTATAACACAGCCATACTCATGCATGAGTACCGCAGACTGTACGTACGACACAAACATCCTTACGTAGTCAGGAAGGTACCGACCAAATTTCACATCCGAGCCAAAGCTAATCAATATATCCGTACATGCCTCATGATGGGGCACATTGTTCGCGAGGGTCTACTAGTAGTTACTGTCTACTGTAAAGATTTACAGTACTGTATGTAATAAATGTACACCACTATAAGATCTGGGCGTTTGGTACTTATCATGATATACAGTAACTATGCAGCAAGAAATGTGGTACGTATACAATGCGAGTAAGGACCGGACCTTGCGGGGGAGCATAGTATAGCGTAGTACGAAAATGTAGCACAGTGCTAGTAGGTATGTAATAGGTAATATCAATACTCCGTACTCCGTAACAACTATAGCCTAAAACCTCAATTCAAGTTCACTGGCAGTGGTCTAATATTACTCTAATGATATAATCGATTGAAGGGGAAGCGGGTGGCCCACCCCGTCATGATCTGCCGATTGCACAGCAAGTGATTGGAGGAGAGCTTACTCCCTTCTTGCGGCAATGGAGCAAGGAGACCAATCAGTAATGTCATATCCGTACATGTCTTGAGAGCCAAATTCAATGTGTATCGTCATTTGTGACAATACTGGAGCGCTGGATCCGGGTTATGAACATGTTCTCCGCTGGAAGAGACGCGTCTTCGTCACGCGTCAAAACCATACCATACTACCTGACAGGACGCGCAGACTCCCTATCAACAGGTTTGGAGTCATGCTTGTCCTTCTTCCCTTCCATTCTTCAATCTGCTAAGAGTTGCTATTCTCCAAATATCTCGCGCATATTCCACTCCCCCCCCCCTCCCCACCTTGCCTGGAGGGACCTACCTTACCAGGCAAAGGCATCTTGAACTTAGAGGCGAGAGCCGCTTTCCCGTGTACCTCCTCTTTTTCGATTTCCTACCGACCTAGTCTTCGTCACCTTGCAATATCTTCGAACCTGACCCACGAATTAAGTATTCTCCGCGTCGCTCTCATCCTTGCATCATCTGGATCATTCACCAAGTAGAAGAACAAGTGAAAAGGCATATTTCACACTTGAGGCTATTGTGAAGCCAAACTATCAGTCACAATCGCGTTTACCCATCCGCTGCACCTGATTTGTGCTTGATTGTCGCCATATGCCACCTCTACTACATGAGGTGGCCTGATTGTTAAGTCTCTTAGCACGGATCTTCTCATCCTTCTTCAAGGCGTATGGGCGACGCCCTTGTCTTCTAGGCTTCATTTTGTCGCGATACAACTTGAACGTTAATTGCTTCCGTTATCGGTGCCCTATCGAAGCCCAACGTCTCTGATTCAAGTCTGTCACCATTAATTTACTCTCAGAGACCGCGACGTTTTTGGCGCTCATCAACTTCCCATCCATTCTCCATAAAAGGTCGCGCTGGCCGCAAATATGGGCTCACCACACTCAGCGTCGACTGTTTCGGGGCCCTCACCACCCCTTCATGGCAGGGTCGTGTCCAAGCCACATCCTCACCTGGAGCCATCGCCTTTACCACTGCAGCCTATTGAGAATGTTACCTCAACTCAAGTTCGTGAACTGTGCCCGGTTCCTCCTGGCTCACGAAAATTGTCACCAACGAAAGCGTATCGAGGATCAGCTGCTTCAATCTCAGGCCGAGGGAAGTTGGGATTTGTCCCGATCACAGCTCCCCCTCCGCCAGCCTTCACGACCGATTCACCCACAAAGCGACCATCTGTTCCAGCGTTCAGTCTGATAACTGCTACTTCATCGATGCCGCAATCTGCCCTTTTCACAACCTTTCCATCAGTCAACCCTGGTAAACGGTCACATAAGGAAACTCATATATTAGATGATACTCCCAGTGACAGTTTTGCTGATTTCCCTGAGCCTACTTTAATATCCAAGCATCCTATGAAAAGAACACTTTTAGACGCCGCCCCACTTAAGGAACGGGCAGCCAAAAAAATGAAGCGTGAAGACATTACTGCGATGCGACTCCCAGAACCATACGAGATGCCACTGATCGAAGATGACGGCACAAAACCACCGTACAGCTATGCAACCCTGATTGGAATGTCTATTTTACGTGCTCCTAACAGGAAGCTGACCCTTGCACAAATATACAAGTGGATATCTGACACTTTCTCATACTACAAGAATAGTGATCCTGGATGGCAGAACAGCATTCGCCACAATCTCAGCCTTAACAAAGCATTCATTAAACAGGAGCGACCGAAAGATGATCCAGGCAAAGGCAATTATTGGGCCATAGAGCCTGGCATGGAGGCGCAATTTCTCAAAGACAAGCCCCTGCGCCGAGCGACAATGTCAAGTCTCCCGCTCCCGGCAGCTCCTCTTAGGGATCCAGCTCTCTCCCAGAGCTCAAGTACAACCACATGGGCTGTTCCTCCACCGACATTTACTACAACAGCGAAACCCTCGAAGACTGTGGATCTGTCATCTGACGCAACGCTTCCTGCTTCTGACCCCGCTCTCCAAGATGATACAGGCGACGAAAGTGTGAATTGCAATATTTTGCAGCCTCCAGCTCCTCGTTCTTCTCCTCCCCAACCAATCCACTCCTCACCTCCTGTTATAGCACCTCGCTACTCCCGCCAAGGAACCCCTCCAACTCCTTCCCATCACATTACATCTTCCAGCATTGTTCACATCAACAGCAAGCAAAACTCGCATGCTATGAATGATAGCGGTTACTTCTCGTCCTTGGAATCTTCTGCCATGCGACCAAACAAGGCTGGGAATATCCTGACCTCGGATTTGGAAATCGATCCCCCTCGCATCAAACGCGGTCGCGCAGAAGAAGAGATTGCCCGCATTCGAAGCTCGTCACATGACGTAAGTCCCAGTCATTGCGCATCGATGAAAGAGCCAGGGGTCATCGTGAATTCCTCTCCACTACGCGGTGAATTTGTCAGCATGCTACCTCCTCCAATTACGCCCTTAATCAAGTTCAAGAAACCAGCAAAACCGCCGCCGTCAGTGTCGCCGAACACTAACCTTCGTAACCATCGAAAGAAAATTCAGCAGATGGTGAATTCTCCCATCAAACATCTGGGACTGACGGATGAAGACCTTCCATGGAGCCCTGCCTTCAACATTCAAGACGAGAGCTTTACACCAAGTGACAGTCCAAATACGAGCTTCGATGTTTTCGCAGATCCTGCTACAGACAACTTATCGAATGCGGCATATGGGTCTCCTGAGAAACGCTCGGCGAAGCGTACCCGAGTTAATTCTGACGGATCCAGCAGTACTATACTGGCTGATATTACAGCGGTGAGTGTTAACACTCGCACTGGTGTGCCGTCGATACCCTCCAACAAAAAAAGTCTTCTCTTCCCTGACTCCCCGTCCAAAGCCCCAGAATCAGGGCGCTACATCGACGCCGCTCATGATGATTTCTTCTCATTCCATCTTTTCGATGAGAGTCCAGGAGAGGTTGATGGCGTCGATCTCTTGCAGGGATTTCAGAAGATTGGGGATGCAAGCAAGGAAGAGACTTCGCGTCTAAAATCATATGCACCAAGGCCGCGGTTTAATCATCGCAGCAGCACGTCCTTGTTTTGATCTTGCAAAAGATCAGCTTATATTGGAGAGTCGCCGAGTTAAAAAAAAAAAAAGTGCAATAGGCTCCAACTATGCCAAATTGCGTTGTTTGTCACTATTCCAACGATGCGCGCCATCTAACCACTTTGGCTGAGATATTGTCATCCTACGGATGATGATATATTACGCGGACTAGGAACCAAAGTCCCCCTCCTTTATTGTTCTGATTATGTTGATTTATCTATCTATGATCAAATCGGTGTTTCTGGCGTTCTTCGGACCAAGGGGATAATCATTGCGCCTGAGATGACCTTCTTATGACCTTTACGATGACATCTGATCAGATGTACATGAGCAACAATTTGTTTCACGAACTTTGAGGGTATTATTCTGATTCTGTATGTAACCAACACAAGTCAGTCGTTCCCAGCTAACAGTCATAATAATTATCCTACTCTATTGAAATTCTTGAACGTCTTGGATTTGGGTATCATAACGGTCGTAGCAGAGCCAACCAAACAAGGAAACAATGCAAAAATACAGCATCGACGACTTTCTTCAGGTCCCGGCAGATTAGACAGGAAAAGAGGAAAGACTACCCCTCAAAAGACAGGCAACATATTATACCCGCCCAAACGCCGTATATGAGGCCCGTCTTGTCAAATTGTTACTGCTTTAAATAAGTGGTTCGGAGCCGCGCGCGCGAAGATTCTTGTCCGACATTTGGCCCGCTGCCATAAGTCTAGTCACTGCTTGCACAGCCTCGACAGCCACAGCTTACACATTGGATCGTTTGGTCTTCCTTTAGTTGCGCTCTCGGTACCCGACAAATGCAGGTTGCATTGAAATTCGTTTCTTTTGTCTGTATGCAGCGGAGGCAACAGAGCTTAACCATACCAAGTCAGCAATGTGAACATGTTATTGCGATGCAGGCCGCATCGAAGGTTATAAGGAATATTAGGGAAAGACCTTTTCGTAGCCTTGCTTTTTCCACTTGGCAATCAAGTTTGAATCGGCATAGTTATTCTTGAGGAGCCACTCATAAAGTTGTTTCGATATGGCTTCCTTCTCATAATACAGGTCGTATATATATCGAGATCCTAGGTTCATATCACTTAGCCACTGAAGATATATGTCGATTGCGGTGTTGAAGGCCGACTAATGCGAGGAGCTTTAAATGGGGATAGCAGGACAAGGGGAATGCGCACTCTGATGACTTATCTGAAATATAGGCCAAAGCATCTCATGCTTCTTCTTCCCATCGTGTGATGCATTCTCTGCATCTTTCATCTTGTTGCTGAATTCGAGTAAGGTATCTTCAATATCATCGAAACCCGCCGGAGGTGGCTTGCGGGTACGTGAAGTTCGAATAGGAGGCATACTGGGAGGTACGGCGCAAATGCAGAATGAGGCGGAGATTTAAGAGAGTGATATATTACGCACGACAAGATAAGTAGATGATGTTCGACTTGTCGCGGAATTGCAGAGACAAGCCAACAGATGATCGAAACCTCGAACGATCATAAGAACCGGTAGTCCTTTTTGCCATCTCACACCGCCATGTGACGGGTCCGAGGAAATGCTTGTGCGGGCTGACTTTGGTTACCAGGAAGAAAAGAGCCCAACTACCCGGTTAGACACCAGCTTCCCGGCTACGACACATCTTCTTCCCAACAACTCTTTCCTCCTATCCTGTTGTTTCTCGGGTCAAGAGAAAAAAAATTCACCATGGATACTCAAACGCAACTCGACATCGCCAAGCTCAATGATGCCGACAGAAAGGAATTGACCCAGTACCTCGCAAACGAGGCACAGAAATCCAACATCCAGCAAAGTAAGTTGAACAGGGAATAGTCATAGTGAACTGAGCGAGCGGGCTTTTTCAAGAATGTCGACTGATTGTCATTACTTCTGCAAGCTGTTCATGGCCTGGCCGATATCTGTTGGAAAAAGTGCATCACCGGAAAGATCTCGTCGGGCCGCCTAGATCACTCTGAGGAAGCCTGTGCGCAGAATTGCGTGGAACGATGGATGGATACGAACTTTGCTGTCCTGAAGCACCTCGAAACCCTGCGAGGACAATGAAAGCTTCGTGTTCGGGGTACTAATGTATACAATTGCCTTTCGAGCTCTCTCTAGACAATCATGGTCTGTTGTGTTGGTTTTTCCAATTCTCCACTTACTTGGATCGAGACCTTTCTTTGACAGGAATCCAAATTTGCTATGTCTAGGCTACCAAGGAATTGAAAGCCTCAAGTAGACCTATATACACGCATATCGTACTCCACCAATCCCATGAATTAGTCCTGGACCCGAGAAGCGCCATGAGTCTCATGTTCACATCCACCGGACTTTTACATTTAAAGCCTTCCCCACTAAGACTCGGGAGGGTATATCAGGGTATCATCCTATGTCATCTATACTTCATTACTATATCATGGATTCGGGTAATGCTTTTCATTTTTTGATTTGATCATTGCATCCTCGTTGAAGCACTGGCAGTTAACTGTATATTTGATATTGACGAACCACCGCACAAAACTAAAAGAAAAACCCGTCAGTCCCAGACAAACCCATCTAGACGATAGCAAGCTTGGTGGCAGCAATGTCCAGAGCGTCGACGTCGGGAGTAAGACGGGCGTAAGCCTTCTTGGAGCCGTCGGGTCTGAAAAAGTTAGATTTGTCACCGGTCATCTCTTCAAGTGCAGAGCAATTCACATACCTCACAAGAGTGTTGACCTTGACGGTATCGACGTCGTACAGCTGCTTAAGAGCAAGCTTGATCTGACGCTTGTTGGCCTTGACGTCCACGATGAACACAAGGGTGTTGTTCTCCTCGATCTTCTTCATGGCGCTCTCCGTGTTAAGGGGGAAGAGAACGACCTTGTGGGCATCGAGGCGAGGCGCGTGGGGGATCGACTTGCGAGGGTACTTGGGCGACCGGGAAAGCTGGAGAGTCTTGGGGCGGTGGAAGGTTGTCGAGGTGCGGACCTTGCGAGCCTTGTGCGCCTGGAAATTGAGAACGTTCAGCATCGACCAAATCATAGGTGGTCCGGGTGTCATGGGAACATACACCTGCACCCTTCAGAACTGCCTTGGCAGCAGCACCAGCCTTGCTGCTGGGCTTGGTCTTGCCTGTACAAACCCACATGTCAGTCGCTGTGGTTCACTAAGAAAAATTGCTCATTTCGACGGCCGGTCCGCGAGACAGTCAAACAGGTGGCGCAAGTGCCGAATCAAACGCTGGGTTCAATTTCGCCATGTTGCTCCTGCTTTGCAGTGCTGGGATGAAAATCACGTCGATTCCATAAAATTCCACCGGAATGTATCACTTGATGCGCGCAAATTCGGGATTCGGAATAGGAAAAATCTGCAGACTCAAACATCATGGGGTAGTCGCACGAAATTAACCTACCTTGCTTGTTTTCCACCTTAGGGGCCATGGCTGTCGTCCGGCGCTGTCGTGGTGATTGTCGCAGTGTCGAGAGTCGAGTTATTTGGAAGGTGTTCGCTTAGCGAAAACCCTACGGATGCTGTGTGGGTCACCTGACCTTCCCGCTCTCCAGGCTGCTCAAATATCTTGGCGTACTCTGAAACAGGCTAGACTTAGCCAACCAGGTCATATGTCTCTAGTATCACGTGCAATTCGAGTGGCTAAGTTTACTGGTCTGGCCGACTCGCTCCGGCTCGATTCAATTCTACGTATCATGCTTCTACCTAAGCCCGGGCGTTAAGCGGTCAAGTTCTCCTACGTAGACATCGCGTTCGCTCGTATTTTGCTGTGGGATTGAAGTGGAAATAGCGAAGCACCCTACCGACATGATAAACTCCAAAAGACAAAGGCTCAAAAGGCCGACTCTTCTTTCTCGGACTCGCCCACCAACAATCAAGCCAGGACACGCAAGCCTCTCGTCGAAAGCGACCCGAAACCTCATTCGCTCACATCACAGACTACTCAAAGCACGAAAGCAGGCTTCGCAGACCGGCGATGCAGCCTCAGTGGCTAAAATTGATGCCCAGATCGAAGAAAACGGTGGTTTGGAAAGCTACCAACTTGCGAGCAAGCTGGGCCAGTCGTCCACTCGCGGTGGTGATTCCAGCAAACTTTTGGTTGACTGGCTAGCCCCCCGATTACAGCCACTGGAAGGCAAACATTACAAATATCGTGTGCTCGAAGTTGGAGCGCTTAGCACGAAAAATGCCTGTTCCTTGAACCAATCGCTTGAAGTCACTAGGATCGATCTGAATTCTCAGGAGGCAGGCATTTCGAAGCAAGATTTTATGGAAAGGCCTCTTCCAGAACACGTGGGCGACCAATTTCATGTTATCAGTCTCTCTCTAGTCCTCAATTATGTACCGGATGCCCTCGTCAGAGGTGAAATGTTGAAGCGCTGCACATCTTTTCTGGTCAAATCGCCACCATCTGGTCTTTCTCAAGGAGCATGCTCTTGCTTGTTTCTCGTTCTGCCAGCCGCCTGCGTCTATAATTCTCGCTACCTCACGGAAGCCCGGCTGTACGATATAATGTCAAGCATGGGGTTTATTCTGTCAAACAGCAAGAAAACTCATAAACTTATCTACCAACTCTGGGAATATACTGGTGATTCCAACCCCAGGTCTTTCGCCAAGGAAATGCTGAATCCTGGCAAGATCAGGAACAATTTCACCATCATTGTCAAATGACACATCCGTGGCATAAGGCATTAACGCAGAAGAATGAGGCATTAAGTGTCCGGTGCCTCACAATGCAGAAATGGTTTCCTGCGGTATAAAGGACCAGGCGGTCCCAATGAGCGCTAGTATCGAAGAAATGACTAGCAAAAACCAGTTCAGTAGTCGCTCTCGTGGGCTAATCTCTTTGCCGAAGATCTTCAAGTGAAATGCCAGCGGCAGGATAATGCATATTGTGAAGCACAGAGCCGAACCCATCAGCGCCATAATTCTGTCGAATGACGGGAAGAGAACTGCCATGCAGACAATAAGGACGATCACCGCTATACGTATCGCAGCTTTCGAAGCTTCGCGCAACGCAGACTTCATCGCTCCATGCTGGATTGATTGTCCTTCCGGACGCGGAACAAGTCCACAAAGAACCTCGATGGTAGCCACAAGAGGCCGGCAGCTGCAACGCGTCAATCGAAAGAACCCCTTCTGAGAGGCGCGAGAAGAGTAAGCTAGATATGCTCAACACTTACTTTAAGGGTACCTTAGTAATTGGAATCGTCGCGATAAATACTATCATGCAAATAGATAAGGCACGTGAGAACTCATTTGTCAACAGAATGTTGGCAGTAATCTCATCCCGGACTGTGTCACCAAACATAAGCCAGCCCACAATGGCCATTGCACAATCGAGGGAATACTGCAGTGAAACACAGTTGTTAGTTCCAGAAGAGCTTTCACTAATCTTCCCTTCTTAATTGTCGTTAGCTTACCGTGAAGGAATACGTCACCACGAGACTTTTGCCGTACTTCTGCGGATGTCTCATATCCCGGTAGATGTTTGGAAAGACACCATGGCCGCCCCACGGTGCTATGAACCGTTAGTTGCTCCCATGCATTTTCTAAATGCCTGAAACCAGACTTACACATTATCAGGCCAAAGCTGAGAGGAAGGGTTGCCCAGTTATCCGGCAGTAGTGAAGTCCGGGCTGGTTGGAGCAGGGAACCTGGCGCTGTTGCTTTCAGCACACCATCGATGCATATGATCAAGACAACTGCTCGTGAGGTCAGCATGACATGTATAAACTTATCAAGGTAGTAGACGTACTAGATGTGCAAGACAGAATGCCAAGAATACTTGTCACACTGAGAAGCCGCAAGGGTAAGAAGTTTAGAGGGATAAGCATGAGCCCACAAATAAATTTCCAATGGAGAATGCTGAGACCTGGCACTAGAGCTTGCAGGCTATCTGCAAAGAGTACAACAAGGGCAACACAAGCCCCTATGAGCTCCAAGCAGAACAACAGACTTGTGACTAAGCGCGCATGATACCCAAAACTGATATACGCTAGATCAGCGTAAGTGACAAGACTTCGGTCAACATCCAGGCACTTTGCCAGGATTTTCGCTGTATATGCTGTGGTAAATGCTGCGAAAAGTAAGAACGTCAGTCCTATGAGCCAACCCGCTTGTTTCATGGCCAACGGTAGGCTTAAAAGACCGATGCCGATTAATACGTTTACGGAATTGAAAATAGTTTGCGGAACAGTAGATTGCCCAACAACCACACATTCGCGTATACCATTGTTGTGCTGGACTTGCTTGACAAGTAGTGACGCCCCTTCAGGTTCCACTGCGGTATCACCGCGACTTTGTTGTTCCCTGTGAAGTTGGGCTGCATTCCTTCGCGCTGTTTGACTGATTCGCGAAGAAATTGTACCGTATGATGTCCCAAGCAAGGGCTCATATCTGTCTAGACTCGTGCTCGGAACCCCCGAATAGACCTGTGTAGCAGTACTGCGGTTTTCCGCAACCCCATCCGAGCTCAGTAAAGGCTGTGTAGAGCTCACCTCATGGTCGCGCTGATCGTATGACCTGGGAAGACTTGATCGTATAGTATCCCACTCTTCGTCTGCGTCAGCTGTCACGAAGGAGGGGCGACGAGGTAGAACCTCCGGGAAGCATGCGGCTCGCTGCCATGACCGTGCGAAGTTGTCGATGCTATTGACTCCGCCGGCTTGCCGAAAACGCGCGGAGAAGGAGGCCGATCTGGGTTGCTCATTTTAGAGGCTGTTGTTGGCCACCGTAGGAAGCGGGAGCCATAAGTTTACCTTGACCTGGGTATAAAATCCTCATCTTCCGGAGAGCTGCTGAAGCTATCGGTCTCAAACGGTGACGTTGAGGTTGACCTCCCATGAGCAGTGGGCCAATGGTGGCTCGAATCTCCAACCTCATCGTCATCCAACAAAGCGAGTTGTGACATTTTATCCTTGTATGAGCTTCAACTTGGATTCTCGTGCTCGTCAGCAAGGTGATATTAGTGCGCTGTACGGCAATTGCTGGACAGGAGCGTGAAGGAGGCGTAGTAGAATATTGATGGCCGTTCAAGTCGGGACGAAGAGCGGCGAACAACGAATTAAAGTGACAAGCCAAAGAGGTGGAGGAGAGAGAGAAAGAAAAGTAGAACGGAAGCAGTGCCCACAGACGTCTTGTCTTGTTTTGGGTGGAGTGACTTAGTCGGGGCCGACTACTTATCAAGACGAGAACAAGGAAGGTGGGAGACCATTCTAGAGTCCGTGTACACAAGCCAGGGTCGTGACCCTCTTATACGCACCATCATTGAAGCTCATATCGAAATCGACGCAGTCTGGGACTGATAAGCATCAGGCTAGAACCTTTTGCTCAAGCAAGGAAATGGGAAGTCAAATGAATGAGAAATACTCATTGATCAGAGAGAGCTCCTACCGGGGCTTGGGTGACGGAAGTGGAGAGTGGATTGGACGGACACCGACTATCATGATAACAGCAAAACTAGTCTAGTCCGTTTAGTCCAGAGTACCTTATCAATATTGATCGTCAGAGCTGGTGGCTATACTAATACGTAAGCCCACAGAGTCATTCGTTGACTAGTTAGTCCAACCGAAAAAGAGCACGACTTGCACACCGCAGGTAATGGATATTCTTGTCCTTGCTCCGTACTTTTCTCGAGATTTTAGTTAAAAGGTACAGTACCTGGTCCCTAGGGGCCTCTCCCATGGAATCGACTTGGCCTGGTTCAATTTATCATTCAGACACTCCAACTTACTTTTTTGGCCCTGCGGACGGACTACTGCTGCTGCTACTTAACTACTACGACGACGACGACGACGAGGACGACTACATGATCTTTTCGTTTGTTTTTGAACACTTTCGCTCCGATCCATGCAAATTCAAAATCCAGTAGATACCTACCTAGGCCTTGCACCTATTTCTACAATGCTGGCTTTGCCCCCGCTAAGTTCATGCATTGTACTGTACAGTACGGTGCATGCGACCCCTCTGTAAAAGTCAAAGAAGTCTGTCTAGACACTCTTCGAATTGCTGCAAATCCACAAGCTCCAGGGGTTAGCATGAGGTATAGATACTCTCTCAGTTAAGTTCAAATCGGGAAAGGTTGTCCTTGCCGCACTATGAAGGTAATACACGACGCAGTGCCTACCATATCCTCATAGAGCCTGACTATAAGTTCGTGGCTACTGTACTGTTATGTACAATACATACATGCACTACTTGTGGGAAATAGACGCTTATGTCATCGCCAACAGGCGACTTGCCGACCCATTTCAATCCATTCCCGCCCCCTCCACGGTGCCTGATGAAATTTGCTTAACACCCCGCTGGACTCGGAAGGCACATAGACCAGCTTTACAGGTACGTATGCGCGTTTTAACCCCTCCCATCCGTTCGCCGGCCGCTGTTAAACCTCACACCTCCGGAATTTGCCTGCTCGCAATTTTCTTTTTCTACACTTTATTCTGTCCCTATCTTATTCCCCGATCAGCTTCGCTGATAGTACAATCAGCATTCACCAGCTTTGCCTCAACCTTTCCCTGGTCGTGTACTACTTTCGCCTCGCCAACATGAGTGCGGCTCAGCCGAACGAAGCGGAGAAGAACATCGAGATATGGAAGGTCAAGAAGCTCATCAAGCGCCTGGAGATGGCTCGAGGGAATGGAACCTCGATGATCTCTCTAATTATTCGTATGTCCTCCATTTTTAATACTTGACCGTGGTTGCCACACTAACTCCAAGCCGCTCGCAGCCCCGAAGGATCAAATCTCTAGAGCCGCGAAGATGTTGGCCGAAGAATTTGTGAGAGAAGAACTTAATAGGCCATTTGATATGGTGTAGTGCTAATGCGGTACGTCTTGCAGGGCACTGCTTCAAACATCAAATCCCGCGTCAATCGACTTTCTGTCCTTTCCGCCATTACATCCACCCAGCAGCGTCTCAAGCTGTACAACAAAGTTCCTCCCAATGGCTTGGTCGTCTACTGCGGTGAAATCATCACATCTGAGGGCAAGGAGCGCAAAATTAATATTGACTTTGAGCCTTTCAAGCCGATCAATACTTCGCTTTACCTCTGTGACAACAAATTTCACACGGAAGCGCTCAGTGAGCTGTTGGAGTCGGATCAGAAGTTTGGTTTCATTGTCATGGATGGAAACGGCGCCCTTTTTGGCACACTAAGCGGCAACACCCGAGAAATCCTCCAGAAGCTGAGCGTCGATCTACCAAAGAAGCACGGCCGTGGTGGTCAGTCAGCCTTGCGTTTTGCTCGTCTTCGTGAGGAGAAGCGTCATAATTATGTGCGCAAGATCGCCGAGTTGGCCGTGCAGAACTATATCACCAATGACAAGGTCAATGTTGCTGGCTTGATCCTTGCTGGTTCGGCTGACTTCAAGAACGATTTGAATCAATCTGATATGTTCGACCAGCGATTACAAGCCAAGGTCATCAAGGTTGTTGACGTTTCGTACGGTGGTGAGAACGGCTTCAACCAGGCTATAGAACTTGCCGCAGAGACTTTGAGCAACGTCAAATTCGTCCAGGAAAAGAAGCTTATTGGAAAGTACTTCGAGGAGATCAGTCAGGACACCGGGAAGGTTTGCTACGGTATCGATGACACTCTTAAAGCCCTGGAACTTGGCGCAGCGGAAACCCTCATTGTATATGAGAATCTCGATATTACTCGATGGGTTCTCAAAAGTTCTAGCGGCTCGGACGTTGTTGTCCATACGTCGAAGGCCCAGGAAGCAAATCGTGAGATGTTCATTGATAAGGAGACTGGGACTGAGATGGAAGTCAGTGAGCAAACTTCATTCCTTGAATGGCTCGCGGAAAATTACAAGGACTTCGGCGCAGCCCTTGAGTTTGTCTCCGACAAATCAACCGAAGGAAATCAATTCGTGAAGGGTTTCGGTGGAATTGGCGCGATGCTTCGATACAAGGTCAACTTCGAACAACTTGCTGATTTTGAAGATGAGGATGAATTCTACGACGGTTTGTGTAGTACGCCTATTACTCGGCTCACGTTACTAATGCCTTTCCACTACAGATTGACGGTTTAGCAGCCTCGCAGAGAGCGAGGATGCACGCCCAGAAGCTCTCAAACCTGATCTTCTGACGGCTCGCCCCGTGATTCGTGAAGGCGGCTCCCACGGCAACCCCATGGCTCTAGTAGCATTTACCATGACATTGCCTGTGCAAGTATCTTGAAGCTGCCCATAGGTATGTTTCGTCATCTCTTACATAAATAGTCTCTGACATTTTGATCGTCAGCAGGGCCATCCAAGCTCCGCATTATAATAACCCATGTGATTCAAGCAGTCTTCGATACCGCCAGGCCTGACCACTGAAATAATGATAGGCTGTCCTATCGCCTCTGGCGATGCTCACCGATGACTGCCGAGCTTATAACTGATGGGCGTGTGCGTTTAGACTGTTGCTTTCTATGTATCGGAGTTGCTCTCATTTATACTTATACTCTACTTTCTTTCCCTTTACTATCTCGTGAACCCTACATTCTCCACAAATTTAGGAATCAAGCTATTATCCTACCTGCCTAGCACGTCCTACAAATACATGTAGATGTGATTTGGCTCGACAAATATCATTGCAAAATAAGGTCTTCCCGAGGATAAAATACTGCAAAAATGTTACTAGGCTGGGCCCACTTGGAAAGACAAACCTCAGTATCTTACCTATACTGCTTCATCTTCGAAGCTTGGTACAAGCTGGTCTGTCCAGGTGCCCAGGTATCGGCAGTATTCGGTGACTTGTTTTAATCCATGTACTATTCCTGAGACTGCGTCCGCGTTCAGACTAGTAGGGGTCAAGTGTCCTTCAACCAGAAACATATATTTCCACGCCTTGACCTGGCTAGGTCGTGAATTGATGCTTGTCAAATTCATGCCATGGGTCTTGAATATCAGAAGAGCATCTGCCAAAGCGCCTGCGCGGTCCTGGGGCACCATAAACGAAATCAATGTCTTCTTCTGTGCCGTTCCACCAGGCGTCCCAGAGGCTTTGATATGCTCGAAATCCACAGCAGCGGGGCGATCGGCATGTGCATTCATAAGCACCAGGAAGCGTGTGGTGTTGTTTGCATTATCCTCGATGTTTTCTGCAAGAATTTCGAGACCATGATATTCTGCGGCAAAGCGACTGGCTATGGCAGCAGTCGGCTCACTTCTGTCTTTCGAGACAATTTCCGCCCCTTTAGAAGTGGACGACACATCCTGTCGTTCGACACCTTTAAGATTTTTCTCAAGAAAGACATCGCACTGACCCCAAGCCTGCGGATGGGTGTACAGTCTGCTGATAGAGTTATAGTCCTGCTGGTCTGGTAGAAAGTCACCTTTGCGAGTCAACAGACAGTGATGAATGGTCAAATAATGCTCCCCGCACACTTTCACATTGCCATAAAGACCATTGGGATCTGCTAGAAGGTCTAGCGTCTGGACGACAGATCCATTAGTAGAGTTTTCGCAAGGGATGATGGCGTAGTCTGCTTTCTCATCCTGCACCGCGGCAAAAGCATCCGCGAACGACACGCACGGTAGCAGATCGGCCGAGGATCCAAAGGTTTCAACAGCAGCCTAAAGTCTCGGATACTTAGAATTGCACTCGAATGGGGAGTGGGGTAATAGCTGGTGCTTCTGACCTGATGGGAGAAGGAGGCTATAGGGCCCAGGAACGTGACTCTGATAGGCTGCTCCATTGCTCCGGTTGTTGTGCTTTGAGTTGTATGATTCGGGGGGCCTTCTGCCAAGCAGCGCTGGACTTCTGCAGCGGCGGCTGACGTAATATGTCTAGGTTAGTTAACTCCGTAACTGAGCTAGACTCAACTATTCATTGAATCGATAGGCCCTCCGCCCTCTCGAAACCATTTTTTATCCCGTTTCCTCTCCGAATACCCACGCATGCTGGGTCTGGTGACGCCCTCGATGAGGAGGCACCTTCTCCGCCTCAGAAAGCAAGGGTCGCCCGCAGCAATTTGTCGACAGCACTCCTCATTGAGCGAGCGTCTGCGTCGGAAACTGACTGCGCATTCATTGCCCCTCACATTTGATTATATTCACCCTCAGCAATCTTTCCTCCTGAATCGGACATTGGTCGATCTCCTTCCCCAGCCAGGCGCGCCGTCGGAGGTTTTCCCTTCCATTAGAAGCCCATCCCGCCTGCCTCCTGGCCATCATCTCGTCTATTTCCCTCCCCAGGTCTCTTTGTCCCAGCTATTGCCGGATGGCACAGACTTCCTGCATTCTCCAGGATATCCTTTTACCAGGCGATTATGGGCTGGCGGTAGTGTCCAGTTCGCAGCTACGGGTGGTTTACTCCTCGATGGTTGCCGGGCTGTTTGCATTGAAACAATTCGAGATGTACTTGTGAAAGGTCAAACTGGTGAGGAGAAAGTGATTGTCAGGATAGAAAGACGAATCGGTAAAATTCGAGAGGGAGAAAATCATAGCCAGATTCGCGATCGAATCTGGAAAGTGGAGGAGGCTGATCTAGGCCATTCTTCCATAATTGAGCATCGGCACTTGATCTTCATGCGCGATAGGACGCCAGAGCAGCTTACCGGTGACAGGGTCAATTTCAAAAAACCTTCCAGAACCATAAAATGTGCGCGAAGAACCGATAATGCGCTAATGCTTTGCCTTTGCTGACAGTGTTTCTCGTGGCTCGAAGCCCCTACAGGTTCTCACTTCCGCCATTCCCTGACACCAACCCGAGCACTGCTTTTTCGTTTCTCGGCGCTCACTTTCAATGCTCACTCAATACATCTCGATCAGACGTACACCCGGGATAAAGAGGGCTACAAGGATTTGCTTGTTCATGGGCCTTTGACATTAATCTTACTTCTCTCAGTCGCCCAGATTCATATGTCTGACCTGGGTTTCGCGATCAAGGAAATCAGTTACAAGAATCTTGCTCCTCTTTTTGTCGGAGAGGAACTAACTATTTGTGGTAAACCCAAGGCAGGGAGCCATGGAGTCTGGGACATGTGGATTGAGGACAGAGACGGAGGACTAGCCGTGCGGGGCACTGTTCAAGGCGGTCCTTTGTAGCCGATGCGGTAGCATCTTCACCTGCTCTGGCTATCTCACCTTATCATTGCTTGCCCAGACATTCATGAAGTAACTAATGTATCTTAAGGCAGAAGCAGCTTCGAATCTGACCATGGCAGGCTTACCGAGGCAATTTCTGGTCGCCATCGGTCGACTGTTCAGTGTCCAAGATCAGCTCTGGTTTAGTTTGGCTAGTATCGATTTTTTCCTGTTTCAGGTATAACCACCAACTTCGAAGTGGCTCTCCCTCAACTTGATATTCAGTGAACCTATTTCTGTCGGGCCTTTCATAATAAGACTCATGGATCGAAGCCGGAGATCGTGCCTGGGGGTGAAGTGTAACGGAACCATTGGGATCTATAAGAGTCTACCTTTATTATGCCTCAGGGAAAATGATGGTTAATTGTGGCCTTGACACATATCAAGAACGATGTCTGGACCTTGCAATGCATTGAGACCTGGGCAACGCTGCCGTCATGGGCATTACCTCGCTATGAAGCGCCCCATGTGACTAACTAAAGTGTAATTAGTGGCAACCTCGCATATATATCCTAATGGATTTTATGCTACGCTTGAGTAATCTCTTCCCATGCACTAGACCTGGCAACGAAAATACGACGTGCTTGGGTCAAACTTCCAGGCAGCCTTAATTGTGTAACCTTGATTTTATCTCTGACCCGATGTCGAGCTAGCTGCTAGTTCAACTATCTCTCCTCTCTTCCATGTGTCTTTTCCCTTTCTCCTTCCCTTCCATATGTAGGCAATGGGGTTTTGTACAGTCTATCACCTTACCGCCTACTATACAAGGCTTTTTGCCGCCCTTCGCACGTACCGCCGCACCCTAAAACACATTCAATACTCCGATAACTTAATAGCAATCGACACCGGTATTTCTATTGCTACTACTGGGATTTATTCAGAAATACAAGTCCCTACAGGAAGAATCTTCTTATATTGAGGTTAAATTAGGGATTCCTAGGGCTGTAAGAGGCCGAAGGTACTGCTATTACGGTTCTTTATTGAGGATATTTTTTCTTCTTTTTATTATAATTAACAAGATCTATATTGATATTAGAGTATTTTATTCTTATTAGAATATTACTCTCCAGAGGATAAGAGATTTATAAGGCTTACCGCCTACTATTTAGAGTTTAGTTGCAGTAGTTGCATAATTACAGCCGGTGTCAATAGCAGTTATCCGATAATCTCCCCGCTTACACTTGTAACTTAGAATTAATGAGACTACTGTGTATAAAACAATAAAGTGGGAAGAAAGCAGGTAGATTACTGTATGAAGTACGCGGCGGAGTAACTCAGATTTTCCAGGCTGACAAAGCAGAGCGTTGCAAACTACTTTCGCAGGTCCAACTGATCTCGTTTACCGGAACGGAAAATTACTCACCGAGCCAAGCTAACAAATTCCACACAACACTCTCCCCTTCCTTTCAGCTACCTATAAGAACCCCTTCTGAACCTAATTGCGACCCTTTTCCCTCTCTACCTGACAGTCGATACAGTGTCAAACAGAAGACATTCTGATGTGAATGTTAAGAATAGCGCCTCGCAAAATACAAACAAATATCTGCGGTTGTCCATTTCCAGATTGACTGACTACATTATGGATCAATTTTGGTCTGCACCTCCTGTTATAAGGTATGTCGAAAGTGAAATTGGGGTTTATACTCACCTTGTGGCCCTGGACAAGTACTAATAGTGCAATCAGGACTCTCTCTGCACTTACATTTGCACAGTCTGCTTTAATATATGGTGGATTATTGAATGGCTATTATTGCCTGTTCGAGTCCCGCCTTGTATTCAAATTTCTCCCAGAGATTTGGAGACTCTTCACCTCATTCATGATCACGCGACCACGCCTTTCCCTATTCCTGGATGTTTACTTCAGTACGGTGCCGTCCTGGATTAGACTCAAAGGCGTGCTAACATGCCGTCAGTGTACACTTACGGTAGCTCCCTGGAAACTAGATCACCTAGGCTGTCTGGTCCAGGTGACTTCTTCGTGTATACGATCTTTGTAGCCTTGGTCATAATGGTAAGTCAAGGGCGTCAGTTGTTTTTGTCAAGATGGCTTGTCCACTTGCTGCCTTCCGGATTTTCCGGGCCACCTTGCCCTCTCCCAATCTTCACCATCCACAAACCAAAAATAAACCTCGCATATCTGCCCGCCCAGCGCATTTTAGCTGAAGCGGTTCCTGGAAACGAGGAAGATTACCCCTGCATCCGTATAGTGCCTACCTCATCGATCCTTTCAGGGCTATATTTGTTGCAGGTATGGTGGGACGACCAGTGAGATAGCTAGCGTGATGTAATGGTTTACGCTGGTGGTTATGGTGCCCTACATTCCGCTATATACCTTATTCAACTTTTGTTCACCAGATTTTATTCCTCCGTTCCGCCTCATGTAGCCACATCAATTATCCTCTTGTACTAACAAGCCCAAGCTCACTGCAGGCTGTTTGTTGGGAAGCGTAACGTTTACCTCTGGTGAGCCCGTTGTAGCACCGAGCATGCGTGTATCTACTGATCATATTTCTAGCTCTGATCATGGCCTTCGTCTACACCTTTTCCCAGGAAAATCGTGGTAGAAAGGCGACATTCTTTGTGGTCCAGATACCGGTGGAATTTCTGCCTTGGGCGATGCTTGCATTCACCTTCGTCACTATTGGATGGCCAGCCGTTCTAAGCGATGGCACGGGCATAGTCGCTGCGCATCTGTATGATTTCCTTACCCGCATCTATCCGGCATTTGGAGGTGGACAAAACTACCTTGTCACGCCGGCATTCATCAGGAGATTCTTTTCCAATCTCACGCCCCGTGGCGATAACCGTACCTACGGTACTGCCTTTCGGCCAGCGGAGCAGACCCAATCCGCCGCTTCTGAAAGCTGGACTTCTGCGTTCCAGGGGCCATGGAATCGAAGAGGTCCGGGCAGACGACTTGGAAGTGACTGAGACGAGGTCGTAACTACATTGGAGGGTACAGGAGCAGAAAAGGGAATATGCAGCAACGGTATGCTAGCAGCAGGAGTTAAGAGTCCCTGAAATACCAGGAGCCGTTCACAAAGGGTTCGCAGTTACTGCGGCTGGGATTGATTCCTGAAGAGAAAGAAAGGCGCTCGTCAAGCAGGTTTGGGGCGGCCAAGCGACAAATGATCGCTAGCATGCTACTTATTCTTTAGCTGCGAGGATTAGCAGTAGGGAGCGTACTGTATAGTAATAGATAATCTTGTCTTGGAACTCCATCAAAGACAATATTAATATTCATTATCAAGGAAATTCCACCTCCGGGCCTGTTGTATCATGGAGAAAAGTCTAGGTCACGGGACATCGAGCCGGAGGGCGAAATTTCTGCGCTAACGGTATTGGTCGCTCCAGCCTTTGCCGCACTTCTAAAATTTCCCAGACTTTCTTCCTCGCTAGTGCCAGAGCAAAACCTTAGCTCGGGAAGTGCAATTTTTCCTGCGCCATCTTCCCAACGCGCGCACTTACTTGGCTATCTCAACACCCTTCAGGCCGGACTGTTCACAATGGCGGTTGCAGTGGCTAAGGACGAGATGGACTACACGATTAAGCCAGAGGCTAGTGCCTCCAACATCGATACCTCGGAGTGGCCGCTTCTACTGAAGAATTATGACAAGCGTACGTTCACTTCAAACTTGTGAATAACCAGTCCTATGTAGCCCGTGCTGATTTTGCCATGTCAGTTCTTGTCAGAACCGGTCACTTCACCCCAATTCCCGCGGGCTGCTCTCCTCTCAAGCGTGACCTAAAGTCGTACATCAATTCCGGTGTCATCAACCTCGACAAACCTTCCAATCCTTCTAGTCATGAGGTTGTTGCTTGGATGAAGCGGATCTTAAGGTATACTACTCGCCTTGCATGACCAGTCGATTCCAAGATACTGAGACTTCTTATTACAAAGAGCGGAGAAAACTGGCCACAGCGGAACTCTCGATCCTAAGGTCACCGGTTGCTTGATCGTCTGTATTGACCGTGCCACTCGCTTGGTCAAGTCCCAGCAAGGTGCAGGAAAGGAATATGTCTGTGTAATTCGTCTTCACGATAAAATCCCTGGCGGCGAGGCCCAGTTCAAGAGGGCACTCGAGACGTTGACTGGCGCACTTTTCCAGCGCCCACCTTTGATTTCTGCTGTCAAGCGTCAACTGCGCATTCGAACAATTCATGAGAGCAAGCTTTATGAGTTCGATAACGATAGACACCTTGGTGTCTTCTGGGTCAGCTGTGAGGCTGGGACATACATCCGAACCCTTTGTGTCCACCTCGGTCTCCTTCTTGGAGTCGGAGCACACATGCAGGAGCTACGACGTGTGCGCAGTGGTGCCATGGATGAGAACAGCGGTATGGTGACTTTGCACGATGTCCTAGACGCGCAGTGGATGTACGACAATCAGCGCGATGAGTCTTATCTGCGCAGGGTTATCAGGCCTCTAGAGACTCTTCTCACGACATACAAGCGTATCGTTGTCAAAGACAGTGCCGTCAATGCTGTCTGCTATGGCGCCAAGCTCATGATTCCTGGTCTCCTTCGCTTTGGTAAGTGGAGCCTAACGCAATTACGAGTGAAGCAGTGGCTAATGTCCGCAAAGAGGCCGGTATCGATGTCAACGAGGAGGTGGTACTCATGACTACCAAGGGTGAGGCCATCGCCATTGGTATTGCTCAAATGTCTACTGTTGAGTTGTCTACCTGCGATCACGGTGTCGTGGCCAAGGTCAAGCGGTGCATCATGGAGCGCGACCTTTATCCTCGCAGATGGGGTCTGGGACCTGTGGCTTTGGAAAAGAAGAAGCTTAAGTCAGCTGGAAAGCTGGACGTAAGTCTACGATGCCCAATCCACTAATTATCTGACTGTTCTGACTTGGCATGTAGAAATATGGTCGTGCCAACGAGGCTACCCCCGCCAAGTGGAAGAGTGACTATAAAGACTATAGTGCTCCCGAGGAAACCGCCAGTCAGCCTGCCACTGAGTCCACCACAAATGAGAATGCGGCTTCTGCCGAAGAGCCATCATCTCCGCAGACGAAGATGGAGGTTGATGAAGACAATGACGAAGAGAAGAAACGCAAACGGCATGATGGTGAGACTGCTGAGGAACGCGCTGAGCGTAAGCGCAAGAAGAAGGAGAAGAAGGAGAAGAAGGAGCGAAGAAAGTCCAAGTCGAAGGAAGAGAGTGATGACAGTGACTAGTCACCTCCGGGAATTACATGGGCCTGACTTGAGAGCAAAAGTGTTCCGGATGAGAATTCCCCTTCTGTTCGGAGCCTCGCCTGCGCAGGAATCCTGTAACATACTTGTTTCTTTGTATCGGAGTCCTGGGTTTGAAAAGGTTATCAATCATCAAATACATGTTTATTTGTCATTTATCCTAGTTATATGTCCTAGGGTCTTTTAAAGTTATAGCATTTCATTCAAGAATATTACTTCATTTTAGTTATGCCGACTTGGTTTTACGAAAGGGTATCGTGACTGGGCGGTGTCTCTGCCGTTCCCCACGGCCGCCCCTCTCATACCACTTTGAGGACTTTCTATACCACCCACTCCTATTGTCTCCAGCTTCCTTTGATCACCCCCTCCCCCTTCTTCTTCTTCTTCTTCTTCTTCTTCTTCTTCTTCTTCTTCTTCTTCCTCTTCTTCTTCTCGGGGACCAGCCAGGTTCTATAACACGTGTCTGAAGTAGCAAAGACTTCCCTCGTCTCTGGTGCGACCTCTGCGACGTCATGGCGGCGGAGCTTACTTCAACCCGGCTCAATGCGGAGAATCATTTGCTCTTGGTAACTGACAGTTGTCTACAATTTGCCAGCGCCGTCTTGGTTTTAACATCCCTTTATGTCACAGGACCAATCCCTCCTTCGTCTTCCCCATGAACTTGCACGTCGAAACTTTAAGTCTTTTCAACGGCTCGTTGAACGGGAGAGGGAACTTGTTCTTCCCGGACTCAAAGAAATCGCTAATGCCTCAATGTCGAATTCCCGAGCGTCCGACCAAGCCATCGCTGCCCTCGACGCTATGATATCCCGGATGCAAGGAATGAAGCGCAAGATGGAGAATCTGCACCAAGAAGAGAAAAGTATTCATGAACAGTCCCGAAAACGCATTCAGCACCTTGAAAGTCTTCAGCAAATCCCGAGTTTGGCAGATGTCAAGTACGACCAGTGGTCGCGAGTCAGGTTGAATAGGCTCATTGTCGATCATATGCTGCGCTCTGGCTATATAGAAAGTGCACGTCAGCTAGCTCATGAGAAGGGAATTGAGGGACTAGTGGATCTTAACGTGTTTGTACAGTGTCAACGTATTGCTGATAGCCTGCGTCAAGGTGAGACAAAGGATGCTCTCCAATGGTGCGGTGAAAACAAGGCGGCTTTGAAGAAGAGCCAGGTTTGTGGACATATCTCATTTTCACTCTTGTGCTCATATGACTCGAAGGGCTAACATCAAAACACAGTATAATCTCGAATTTGAACTCCGACTGCAACAATACATTGAATTGATCAGGAGTGGGGACAGGAAAAGATATGTTGAGGCAATGATGCATGCTAAGAAGTACCTCGCCCCGTATATAGAGACGCAATCCGCCGACATACACAGGGCCGCAGGACTACTTGCTTTTCCGCAAGATACTAAAGCTGAACCTTATAAGGTAAAGAAAGAGCTCGTTATCAGCGAAACACGGTCGCTCAACTAACAAATGTGAAGTCTTTATACTCTCTCGAGAGATGGAGCCGTCTTTCCGAGCTATTCATTCGCACTCATCATGAGCTATTGTCACTATCATCCCGCCCTCTGCTTCATATTGCACTATCAGCAGGGTTATCAGCTTTAAAGACGCCCTCGTGTCACTCAGCCTTCACTTCTTCAAGTTCCAATTCTCTCTCTACCACAACATCCGTCTGCCCCATCTGCTCTACCGAGCTCAACGAACTTGCCCGTAATATGCCTTATGCTCACCATACGAAGAGCTACGTCGAAAGCGATCCGATAGTTCTACCCAACGGCAGAATTTATGGCCAGCAGCGGCTGATAGAGTTGAGCAAGAATGTCGGTTGTGTTGACTCGGGAAAGGTCAAAGATCCAACCACCGGCGAGATTTTTGATGAAGGTGAAATGAAGAAAGTATACATTATGTGAAGACATCAATGCTCGGTGCCGGATTTTCAAATGATCGAAGCTCTTCCTGACATTCCCTTGTGGTCTTCTCGACTCGATTCATTTGTATACCTATCTAGGTTTAGTTATGGGATTTGGTCGTGTTCTTAATCACTATCACTATCAAAAGCTTCTCTCGTTCGTTTTTTCCTCGCGCCATGATCAGCTTTGGTCGATAGTGCATTCTTCCCAGGAACCGGTTGATCATCTCTCCTAAGCTCGAATACATATGTTCTTGCATCCCTATCCTCACCTCGCCATCCGCCTCTGCCTCCACATTTTCCCTCGATCTCGCCCAGTGTCCGTGCATGCGAATAGTCTTGATAGCAAGCCCACGGGAACTTGAAGCTCGTGACCACTCGCAGGCCAGCATGCCGCGCAAGATCCTTGATGTTCCACAAGGTATAGGGTTCCCCCTCGAATATGGTCACCAGAATTCGACCCGGACCAGACGTATGCTGGTCTTCAGCCTGGCCGGCGGCCGTTATTGAACGTAATGGCTTATCAATTTCGGCGACATCGTCTTCATTCTGGCTGGTCTCCGAATCTGAACCTTCATAGTCCTCCCACTCATAACTTTCATCGTCATCCACCAGCCCTGTACTGGGCGATAGCAATGGGATGCAGGCCTTGAAGAAAGCTACCAAGAGTTCTTGGTTGGCACGAACCTGTCGATTGACATCGGTGGAGAGACCGCCGACATGGGGAAAATTGAAGGAGATGATATCCCATTGCCCACCATCCGGGGCGGAAGCGAGAGCTACGTTTCTCGCTTGTTGCCATGCCGGACGCCGACGCTCTCGCCGAGACCAGCCGTTGCGAACGTCCTTCCCGCCACCCGCAGGGAGACCCAGTTTCCGAGCATCGACGGAAAACAGGACCTTGGGAAGCCGACGTTTTGGACCAAGCGATGGGTTCTTGTCTTCACTCAAGCTAGCTGGGGTGCTGAATGTTGCGAGAATGTCCTGGATATTGAGATCCACCTGGGGGTATTTGCGCTGAAGAGTCTCCCTGGAGTCATAACAAGTAGCCAGGACAGTCTTGCAGCGATACTGACGGATCAGGGAGCGGGCAAAGGAAAAGTCGCCTAGAGGAATTTGATTAATATTTCCTGGAAGTAGATCAGGTGATGCCATGGCGAACAATGAGGAACCTCTGCCGCTTATAACCTGGAACCATACAGTCCATGATAACAAGCATGTTTCAAGGACAAAGCAGCGCAAAAGTATTCTCGGGCGTGTCAACTCACACTGCCCGCCTCAACCCTCCTTCGTGCCAGGCCATCAAGACGTTGCGGCCTAGCAAAAAAAATGCTTCCTGCAACGCAAGCTGTTGAGGCCTTGAAGACACTGGCAGGATTGCAAGCAGGCAGCCTTAAGGAATGGTCAAGGAAGGAAGGATATGGTGCAAGAGCAATGCGAGATGAACTAGCTGCAAACAACGAACTCACCTTCCCCGACCAACAAGATGCGATCTTTCTTCCCAAAGGGCACGATGGGTCGCCGATGCTGTTTTGGCTGTTGCGAGGTGACCGCTCCTGTTGTAGTCTTTGAATCCTTGCCATCATGCTTAATGGCGGGGAGACCAAAAGTCGTCGTCGTCGTGGACAGTCGAGAAAATGTGTGCATTTTCCGGTGCTTTTTGGGCTGATGGGCTGCTGCCCCCGCAGCAACACCGGAGCCTTTCTGGAGGCGGCCCTTCTTGGCTTTGCCCATTGATTATCCAAACCAATAGAAAAGAGAAAAAGAGGAGAAAACGAGAGAAAAGGCGAGGGAGACACAGAGAAAGACAGGGCTAGGTAGCCACAGAATGTAAAGTAGGGCAATCGATGAATTGATTCGCCGCTCTTGGTTAAGTCGGAATGTGGTTGACTATAAGGAGGTTAGGTATTTTACTGCCTGTATTTATGGTATAGCCACCGCCGTGTAAGTTTGACTGTGATCCTTTTTTTTCCCTCAAACATGCATTTCTATACCAGGTACGAAACATAAAAAGTCCCCTACTATCCAAGGTAGAACATTTAGCATGCGACATCGACTCTTTCGACAACTATACTATTAACCAGTATCTATGGCTTTATTAAGGTGTGATATAGGACTTTCATATATACAGACTCAAGACACTAAGACACATTGGTTCAGTCACCTCCACCCGATGCTGCCTTCGCTTCCTATAGTGGACTTCGGGGTATCAACCAGTGTCAAAGGAGAAGACACGCCTTTAGCCATGCCCCATACGGATGGAGGAGTAAAATCCGAGAGAAACGGAGATACAACACACTGGTCAAGAAAATGTTGTCGCATCCCCTGCGCATCCTGAAGGTGAAAATGTAAATGCTGGCGATGCCGACCAAAAGTCGAAGAATATTATGCAGCATAGAAATGAACTTGAAGTGACTGAGTCAAGACGAAAAGGGGCCTTGAAGATGTAAAACGCAACAATGAGCCTTGAAGGCCTCTTGCATCTACTGGATTAGCATGATTTCCTTGTTTCACTCAGTCTAGTGAGTTGTACACGCTGCACTGTGGAAGTATTACACAAACAGAGCACCGGTCCCGGTGGTCAGCTTGGCAACTCTATCCTAGAGCCAGACTGTTTGCGCTAACAAGCGTAACTCTATTTAAGACCGCAACGAATCTCTCATGCTCTGACTGCTGGCGCTCACGGGAGGATTAGCGGTGGGCAAAACGCCCGTTTTGGGCTTGGCATTTTGCTTGATTTTAGCAATGGCATAGACAATACCACTGACGAAGCCCACGACAATAGCTGAAACACTGGGAAACGTGACTGGTGCATCGAAGAAGATCAATCCAGAAACCGCAATGGGCAGCTTGTTGAGAGCGCCGACCATGGAGTACGTCGTGGAGGAGGTCACACGAACGCACCATGCAGATGTGTATGAAATGAAGACCGTCGACAAGCCCGAGAGAATCATAGCGAAGATAATACTGTTACGGTCGACAGGGGGGAAATTGCGGTTGACGTTCGTAGATGACCAATCCTCCAGCAAGCCTGAAAGTACGATCAACACAGGAATGGAGAGAAGGTTGTTATAGAACATGGCTAGAAAGGTACGTCAGAAACAGGGCGGGTGCGCGACCATGATCGGAGGGGAAACGACTCACTATCAAAGTCTTTGAAATTTGTGAGCTTGATCCGTTTTCGCATGCCCAATACGTAGGACGAAGTGCAGAGGCAGTTGATCAACATCCAGATGTAGCCGGCATTCAATGTCGAAACCGTAGCGGTCGCGTCGGAGCTGCTTTCGACAGCGTGTTTGATGTCTGCCCACGCAGCAATGAGGGAGCTCAAAACCATCAGACCGAAGGAGAACAGCGTGAGCCCGGTGACAGAGCCACCGAACCACAGAACTTCACCATAGGCGATAAGGATGATGGTCAAATTTTTGAAAATGGTGTATACTGGAATTGAAAGGAACTGGAGCGCCTTAGAGCCCGTGTAGATCATGCCAATCAACAATAGGGTAATTGGGAACCCTAAGTATGATCGAGATTCAGTCAGCATCTGTTTCAACGGGTAGGGCTGCCTTTGGAACTACATACACTTCCTGGCCTCATCCGCGCTAAAATCACGGTAAGTGATTATACCGCAGGCTTTGCACGTCTGAATTGCGACGATGCAAACGACGGACTGGGGACAGATAAATACAACTGCGGTCAGCATCTTCGTACACGCGCTTCGCGCAAATTTGGGTTTCTGGTGCTCAATGCTGCATCGACGTACCTGGATACAGAGGAGGAAGAAATTGAGATTGAAGTCCGTGCCGGAAAGGACATATTTATTCATCACTGTCATCAGGATGGACGATCCACAGTAAGCTAATACTGGCAGGATTGGATTATTTTGCAAAGAGCTGGATGGGGCGCTCCTTGGCTGAGGCGGCGGCGGCGCCTCGAAGCCCTTGTTGCCTTGATCCAGTTTGTCCATCTCAATCGTATAGTCATCTGTCCTCTTTCCGTCGGCCATTTTGTTGACTTGAGACGGAGGGGATTGGCAAGAGCACAATCGGGGAGAGGATGTTCAAATGGGATTCAAATAGTCGCGGTTGGCGGAGTGAGCGACAACGTGTCGATAGGAGTTGTTTCAAGGAACAAAAAGTCCTTATGACAACCTTGAGATCAAAGATATAACAAGTCCCTCAGGGGAATGGGTCTAAACGGAGGAGCAAGAGAAGGCGCAAAAGTAATGATAAGAGAAAGAGAAGGGAAAGGGGTTTGGGGGGGGAGGGCGGGGAAATAAGAGTGGTGATGTTGAGAAGATGGAAGGAATTTGATAAAGGCTGCAGGGTGAAGGAGTGAGGAAGAGTCGGAAAGTGTTGTTCAGCAGAACTCTTGGCTGGCTGCAGTGCAGGTGGCAGAGGCCGATCTCTGGTTCCGGATGCGGCAATCTCAATTGGTACTGAAAAGTAATTTTAATTTACCAGCTTATGTACATAGAACATACAGTTACGGTTATACTTCGAATAGAAATACAGTCCCCCACAACGGACAATACACGGACAAACACAGACAATCTTCCTCTCTTCAGTTCGCTTCCTCTCTCCGCTGAACACCTCAAGTGTCTCTCGCCTTGTCCTCTTGTTATTCCCACCAAGGATACCAATTACGTACGAAGATTCGTCAACATTCGCCAAAACGCTCATCTCCATGGCCCATCATCTTACCAGAGACCGGGATGAATCCGACGACGATGCCCTTCTTGAAGCTTTGGAGAACGAAGATGATTCATCGTACCGCGCGCATCGAATTGAACAGCTCAATGCTGAGTTTACCGCAGCCCAGAACGACGCGGCCCGCAGCACCGCTGCTCCTATTGGAACAGTCGTTGAGGATAGCATCTATCCCATCCTAAGAACCGACCAATTACTTCTGGATTTCACAACACAAACCCACCGATGTGTCATTCACTTCGGACACCCAGATTTCGCGCGTTGCAGCACCATGGACGAGCACATCCGGGCGCTGGCTTCTCAGCACCACGAAGTACGCTTTGCGCGGGTTGACGTGCGGGACACCCCGTTTGTTGTAGAAAAGCTCAAGATTCGTGTCCTTCCCTGTGTCATCGGTTTCAAAGATGGGGTAGTGGTTGAACGTGTGGTGGGATTCGAGGGCCTTGGATCAGGTGGGCGCGATGGGACGGACGGGTTCAGCACGGCAACGCTAGAGAAACGGCTTCTTTGGAAAGGAATTCTCACCCAAGAGAAAATCAAGGCCACGGGTGACACCTCAGACCAGTCTGATGAAGACAGCGACAACGATAACAATGGGCGAGGGTATGGAAGGCAACGAGCTATTCGAAGCGGTAACGTACATCAACGCCGCCTTGCTGGCGGCGAGGATGATGAGGATGATGATTGGGATTAGCATTGAATTCGCTACAAAAATAGGGCCTGGGCGTAATCACCAACGCATGGTGACTATGAGCTGAACGAGATGAAGCCTTCCGACCCCAGAAAGCATGATGATGGAAGCAACAGGCCCTTGCATGGTTGACGGATTTGAGTATCCTGAACCATGCGCTGTGGTGCTGGGGTGCCTGTGTCTGTGAGCATTTGGTGAACAGATGCGCTTTAATCGCAAGTTTCTGCGTCACGCACTAAGCTATAGGACCTTTTATTTTCGCGTGATCAATCAAATGATGGCCAAGCTCGTCTATGGTTGTCGCCGCTATGAGCAAAAGTGCTTTCACTCTATGGCTCGAAACATTGAATCAAACGAGCCACGTGTGATCGATGCAAAGTTCGTGTCGGGAAAAACCAAAGATTTTAGCCACCTGCCTTAGACATTTTGCGCACCTTCATCATGATAGGACGGATGGTCCCTGCAGGCGATCCGACTCTTGGCAGATTTACCATTGAACACTTCCTTAAGTGTTCATGGCCAGGAACCGAGCGATTGATTAAAAGAATGACTGGATGTGACTCGCCGGAAGTGGTCGAATACCGCATCATTGTCAAGTAAGATTACATACAAACATCGTAAAGGCATAAGACAGAGAAGAAAGGCGACGAAAGGATCCACAGATAACTGCCTAAGCATTGACGATCAACAGAAAATGCTCGGACAGCAAATGAGGCAGAATAAGAAACAAAAGTCAAAGCTATTGGGACCATGGAGGACAAAGTGAGAAGTTTATACAATGGACTCAGATAATAAGTTGATATCCCCATCGCTGGCCAATGGGCGAGGAGAAAATGGCATGCTCGACAATCTAACAAAAGATCAACCTTCATTAATACTGCGAAAGTATAAAATGCTCATAGTCAGAGCGAAGGCATGATAAGGGAAACGGATTGGCAGAAATACAAAGAACAAAACAGCGCTGCAAAAACCATGTCTAGATAGTTACATTTTTCATCTCGCCTAAGACCTCAGGGTTCAACCCGGTAGCGGGAGGTTGCTCTGACAGTCCCTTGTCTGTTTCTGACAGTCCCTGCTCAGGCTCGGCTCCCAGTGCTTCGTCATTCTCTTTCCCAGATATCTGGGGCGTAGCGATCTCCATCAAATCCTCGGTCTGTTCATCTTTGAATGCAAGTTCTGAGTTACTAGCATCCGCTGTGGTGTGAACAGGACTTGTGGCCTCTTCCGTGACGCGAGCTAGGGGACTTGAGATGCCGAACTGAGTCTTTGGGCTTTGAGTAGAACCGCGATTTGAGAAGCGATGCGGCGACCTGCCTCGTTCTTCACTCGGGGTGGGGCTGCCATAGGGGGATGCTTGGCCAGATTTGCCTCCTGTAGTCAGTCCCAAGCCACTGGGAGTCTTGCGGCGAGGTGGTTTTCGACCATACTTTTGATCAGTTCTCCAGCGTAAAATCTCGAGATAAGGGGGTTCGACATTCTGCGCCTTGAATTCTAGGAGCTTGAGCTCATTGGTTTCTTCGTCCACGTGAACTTTGCCGCCGCAGATATCATCGGCAAACATGGCCAGAAATGCAGCCCAAGACCGAGCGACCACATATTTGCAATCATAGTCACGGCCAAAGAGGATGACCTGTCCCCACTTCCCAGCAGGCCCGGGTGCCAGATCAATCGCAATGTGATTGCCGCCCCAGTCGCGAGCCAGAGGAATCCACGCAGGATGAGCATACGCCTTTTGAACAGCATTCGGGGGCTGCGAGTCCTGACGCTCGAGAAGATCCTGTCTCCACATGGGATTTGACGCTTGCGTGGGCGGAACGGCCGAAGACGAGCTGGCGACTGCTTTCGGGACCGAGTTCATCATCGAGCTGCTCAAGAATTCTTCATTGACTGTCCTCCAGTTCTTCCATTCCTGGACGATTTCCTCACAGTCAAGGAGCATACATCCGAAGATGATGCCAGTAGGCAAACCCGGGCGCTCCTGCCCATCGTGCATCATCAACGACTCCCGAACCTCTAGTGGCAAGCTGCAATCTAGTTCGTGCTCCAATTCGTTGATATCATTCTGTGTACAGCCCTCACACAAGTTATCGAAAAGCTCCTCGTAATTGTGCTCCAGCCATCTGTCAATTTTTCTCCACGAGTGACCGACCGGGGGCGGAGGCGGGGCGCCGTCGTGAAAGCTTTGCATCTGGATCTCCGGAACTCCTTCCACACCGGGGTCGGTTGACTGCCGCTTTTGTGATGACAATGAACGCATACCAGGCGAATAAGGGCGATTCGGGGACCCCGTACCCGTAGGAGATCCAGACCAGCCATTTGAGCCTTTTTGCTGGTCGTCATCATAAGGGGCGGTTAAATCTGGGCGCGATTCGATAGCACTTGTCGCGATGGACGTGAGTGGCTCGTGTCGGCTTTGACTGAGAGGTACGTGTTTGCCTGATCGATAAGGTGAGTCGTGGGATGCATGGCGATCATAGGAAGTCATGGTATGCCAAAAGGAACGCCATGCTGAACCGATGCTATCTAAGCGGTTAGATGGTCTGGGACAGCAGTAAAGTCGATAAGAGATATGGTCTCGTGTGTTTCTGTGAACCACAAAGAATATAAAGCACTTACGCATTCGCCATTGTGAGAGGCGGGTGGGGAAGGGAGGAAGATGTAACAAGAAGCCGAGTTGCGTGTCCGAACGGATGTTTCTTCGTTGCCTAGATCAGGAACAGCGGAAGGTGACCATTGGCTCTGCGTCTGAGGTTGATGCAGAGAACCGAAGTCTGTCGTGTTGTTCAAGGACTTAAATTGCAAGATATGCTCAAATTGTGGAGGTGAGTGACGAAATAGAATGATTGACGAAGGAGAGAAAATCGCGTGTTGTAATGGGAAGCTCTTTTCGGGCCGGGGGCGAGGGACGAAAAGGGATGTGGAAGGGGGAGGTGGGAAAGAGGAAGAGGAAATGTGAGTGTGAGTGTGAATATGAGTGTGAGTGTGTGAATAATTAAGATGAGGAGACGGAGGGAGGGAGGGAAGAAAGAGAAGAGAAGTGGACGAAGTGGGAGGGGAAGGCGGCAAGGAAGGGGGGAGAGGGGCGGAGAGAAGGGAGGGAGAGTAGTCAGAGTGTACAAGTAGACTTGCAGAAGAAAAGAAAGAAAAGAAGATCTCAAAAGAACAAATTAATCATGAAAAATAGACCTGAACGGTGATATTAGGAGATCGGAGAATTGGAGGAGAACCAAACCAATAAAAATAAAAATAAAAATAAATTCAAGAGCTTCCAGTGAGCAATGCTTAATATCAGTATTAGAAAGAAGCAACTGAATCCTTGGATAAGTACAGAGTAAACTGGGGATGGACGAAGAAAGAGGAAGGGAAGGAGGCAAGAAGAGGAAAGTAAATAGTAACTAAGATCATTAATTAGCTCCAACTTACTCCGTATAGAGTATTTATTTATTATCATCTGAGATCTGATTTACATATAACTACTGTATTCCGTAGTTAGTGATGACTTTGATCATTAGTACCCATTTTATTCATCCTGGTCACCAGGGATTATTGTGACATAGTCTGTGTATGCTTACTACAGTACAAGTAGTTAACTACTAACTTGCTTAATATGCATCTAAGATGATCACTTTGTACGGAGTAGTGAACAGAGACTGCCCCTGGAATTGCGGCGGCATCTGGAACCAGGGAAGGAAGGGGAGACTGCTGAAGTTGGCTGGCTGGATTTCCTGCCTTTACTATCTGAAATTCGGGGGCTATCCTAACGTACTGTACTGTAATGTACAGTACACGGTAGAGTCCTGCTATAGCTATCTCTTTCTTCAACAAACTGCCTAGAAATTCTCCTGAATGCACGTTCTGCGCGAGGGAAGCTCAAAGAGCGCCACTGCATTCCTGCACTCTTGTACAAGTATCATAGCTGAATCCGGATATCAGGAAGTTGCTATGTAGACTCTGTACTTATAACTAACTAGTAATCACGGAGTGCTCATATCTGGTACACAGCATATAAAGTACCTAGTAGTTATATATCATCAAACCCCTTTAATGCAAATCTTTGATACTGACACCAGCAGTCTTTCCCGTACAACCGGTAATGGTATTAGAGATATCTATGTTCTTGGTGACATATTTCCTATGTTAGGAGCTACTGGAATTCTTTATGGCTGAATATTGATTGGGGAATCTTTTCTATTCCTTTTATTATGGTTAAGGAGTCTATATTGAGATCAATCTCATTTAGCATAACTACATCATGGATTCTATATATACACTAGCATAAAGGAGAAGGAGCTGAGGAAGCTCTACCGCTTGCTTCATGGGGGTTAACAGTGGTTGTATTAAAAATATAACTGGTGTCAATATCAATTTCCCCTAAAGCAGTAATCGAACTCAAGTCCCTACATACCATCAGGTATAGTACGGTACAGTACATATACAAATGAATACAAACAGTCCCGGTTGACTCATTATTATTATTGTTATGTCCTACTCAAAATAGTAGTGATACATAGAAGTAACCTGCAAGCTCCATCTTCATCTTCATCAACTCTTTTTGTGTCTGGCCGCGTAATTTTTCAGTGCAAAGTGGAGCAGAAGCCGAGTGGGTCGTCGGGAACTACTCCGTACCAATTCGCCGTTAGGCTTGGCTTCGTTGTCGTGGCGGCTTCTGTCCGCGTTCTGGGCTCTCTTCCAGTCAGGTTACATTAATTAGATGCAGTTGGATGACAACCTTGAGGTCATTGGGTGTAACTACGCAGGTACGGATTCTCTGATACCTGCTAGGTAGCTATCTTTAGTCTATCGCTACTCCTTAACCTTGTCCTTTCACATTCTCCGCCAGGCAGGGTTAGAGTTTATACATACTCACATATATATAAATATATATATATATATATTATATGTCCATGTTTCCTTCTAAATTCCTTTCTGAGTTAGCTTCCTCGCTAAGCAGCCAGTATCCATAAATGCTATCATCTGTTCTGATTCTTCTTGGCAAGCTCGCCTGATGCCTATGCAACAAGCAGCAAGGGGGTGGGGGGGGTGGCTCCCCCCTCAGCCATGACCCATAGCAACATCACCTATATGCGTCATCACTCATGTGTCACAACACACAGAGTGTTTGAAAATCCCATGATAAACAGCCGGTACATGATTGTGTGCGGAGAGCCACATCAGATAATGGAAGGCATGGACGGTAATGAACGTAGATACAGATTAGTAAATGTCGAGAAATATAGAAGCATAGGAATGATAGAGATTCTGAAGGTTATGCGGGGTCGTGTGTACCAGCAACAACTGCTCCAAAATTGCCCTTGATGACGATTGCCTCAGCTTCATGACGAGTAATCTAGCCAGAAAGCATTGTGCCACACAATCCTGACATGATATAGGGTGGCCAGAGAATGCGACCATCAGGGCAACACATGAATTGAAAAATGGCCCTCACGACAAAATGTGAGCAAAAGGAACATGACCAGGGGAAGTACTATAATAACAACAATGAAGCATACCACGCGGTCATCAAGCCTTGCCGGTTCGACACCCGGAGAAAAATACTCAAAAGGCAACCAGACTCCAGGTTTGATGCAAATGGGGTATAACTGATCCCAAAGAGAGTCATAATCCCAGCCATCCACAACATAAAATTACCAACATGAGCTGCGGTGAATACCAACAAGGGAGGTCGGACTGGTGGGGATAAAGCCAAAAACGAAAACCCTTAAGGAACGAGAAACAAGGCAAGCAGGGAAGAATAGCTACTGAGCCAGATAGAAGATCGGGAAGGTTGAAGACATATCAATCAAGTCTAAAAGAAAGACATGCAATGATGCGAACACGGCCATTAGTATCCCTGGATGCGTTCAGAAGCGTGAGTTGAGCTGAAATCAGTCGTTGAACAGACGGTACTCAAGATTCGAAGCATCAAGATAAGAATTGATCGGGAACAAATATCAGCATAAGAGTAAAGACTAGCATTCTCAGACATATAGATGCAGTCAGGCGAATGAGCTTTGAATGCCACCAGCTGAAACACCGGAGGGCGCATCGAGTTTCAATATACGTCGCAAATCATCCTCCATCTTCTTAGTATCGACAGATTGCGCAGCCGGACTAACCGAGATGGCACGTGACACGGGAGAGTGCTGAGGTGGGGGATAGTACATTGGGTACTGTACATACTGGGGCGGAGACCTTGGCTGCTCGTAGGTATGTGGAGGAGGGTAGTGCGCTTCTCCAGGAACCGTCGGTCTATTCCCAACTTTCGTCGAGAGAACCTCCTTCCGAAGAGGCGAGTATGGAGGCTGGGCTTGGTGAAAAGCGTGGTGTTGCGTGTATGGTAATGGTGAATACGAACCGATTCCAGGAACGGTTTGTTGGTGCTCGGTAGACATACCATGCGAGTAAGAAGCAGGTGGCCCAGAAGTTGCTCTTAGGGGAGTCACAAAGTGAGGCACATTATGGTTGGCAGAGGGATGCCCACTGAAGCTTCCATGTTGTTTCTGGGCTGTAACCGAGGCTGAGGACGGTCTCTGAGGACGAGGGTTGAGCAGCAGGCTCTTCAAAGCCTCTGTCTTAACCTGTCGTTCATTTTCGTCCAGGTGGTCTATTGACTGAGAGGGTGAACTGGCTGATCGCAGAGCATTCATGCGATCCTTGTAGGATGCAGCGAATGAGGCCCCGATAAGCGATTGACTGCTTTCGGGACCATCCACATCGGCTTTGAACAGTCCATCGCTAGCGCCAGCGCCGATGGTACTGCGGTTGCAAAGAGCTTTCGAATCAGTTTGTGGGGATGATATTCTCATGGTCGACTCCGGGCTACGCGGCTGCTGAGTATTTCGAGCTTCAACTGCAGCTTTGAAGAGAAAATCGAGTGGTGTGGGTTTGCGTCCTTCGTCCTCATAGACCGGACGCACTCTAGATTTGGAGGGCGTACTTTCTGATTCTGGACTGGTATCGAGATTGTCGTTGTCGGCTTCTAGTCCCGATGAAATGTCCGACTCAGGCAACGACTTGGAAAAAAAGCTTGGTATTGGAAGAGCCGACGGCGCTGGCGATGCATGAAAAGTAGGACCTGCATAATGCGAGCTGTCCTTTGCTTGTGGGGTGGAAAGATTGTGTGAGTGCGATGAGGTATGCCGATGCCCGTTGTTAGAAACAGGAGAAGCCCTTGATGCATCGCGAGGTTTTCTGTTGGTCCGCGCAGGCTTCTTCTTAGACGCACTAGGGTTATAGTTGAAAGAAGAGTCCGTGGCAGTTCCGCCAGGACTCTGATTCCGCGGTGGCGACGAGGGCGGGGTTGCCAGTAAGGTGACCTTCTGAGACAGCGGGGTGGTATTTCTTTTCAAATTCCGACGATTGTTTCGAGGACCCTTTGGCGTTGGAGGAGTAGGTGATTGGGTTGACATTGTGAAAGGCCTTCGAAGGTAGACACAGCTTCGGAAGCGGAGATGAGAAAACACGCGCGATAACAAGTAGAGCCAAGTCGGAATAATTAGGCGAGGAATTCGCTGTATTACGCATGTGCCCAGCAGCCTGTGCTGAAAAACCCGACACTACAATCTCAAGAGACGACGAGCTGACAATTGCACAGTGTGATGGTGAGGTGTAGCTCAACCAGTTGGCCTTGGATCGGAGGGTGTGCACAGGGAATATATGCAAGCTTCTGTGTACAAGATCAAGTGTAGAATGAGTAAGAGGACGGTAAAAGAGTAAGTAAGCCAGAGATCCTAGACATGCTCACATGTACACGAGCGATGAAAGACAGAGTAAAGAAAGCAGGCTGGGAAACATTGAAGGAAGTCGTTGAAGCTGGGTTGGGTTCAAAGTGGTTGTTGGACCATGGGAAGGGCGGGAAGAAGAAAGGCTGGGGGTGGGAGGAGCGGGGGTGAACAGTGATGACTCAGCATCCGCCGTCACCTTGGCTTACTGCGTACAGTAAAGTCGGTCGAGGATCAGGTAGCAAGCAGTTGTTTTCAGTCAGTTACAGTGCGGTTGATACCTTTCCTCTCTCCCTTCGAGTCCACAACTTGGTAATCACGAAATATAAGAAGATTTGACTATTTTCGCAGAAGTGTGAGAAGTGTGTTTACTTGCGTACGTCCTAGTAATCAAGGTGTCTCGCGCTAATTGCCTGGCCTACACTGTGCAGTACGTACACCGCAACAAGTTATCAGTTAAACTGACAGGACCTAGTCTAACTAATCGAGGTACCGCCTGCTCTATCAACCAAATCCTACGTAATACTTCAAGCTGCGCGCCCCTCTTCCGAGCCTTCGCAACTAGAGAAGGCATTATCTGGCCTTCGCCTACAACCCCGCGCTCACTGAACATATAAGGAACGACCCCAACACAAGTGAAAATGGCGGACGTGGAAATGAAAGAGGCGACCACTTCTGGCGCCTCTAAGGCGAAGGAGATGTCCAAGGCCACAGATGCCTCCAGTGATGGTAAGAAAAAGTTCGAGGTCAAGAAGGTATAGCCACGTGAAGCCGTTCTCCTATCTGCACATCGGAAATAACACAAGTCTCGCTCTAGTGGAACGCTGTGGCTCTGTGGGCTTGGGACATTGTTGTCGACAACTGTGCGATTTGTCGTAACCATATCATGGATTTATGTACGGCTGTCATTCTCCTTTAACCTGATGCCTGACGTGTCTGACGTATTATATCTGCAGGCATCGAATGCCAGGCAAATCAAGGTTCATCTACGACGGAAGAGTGTACAGTAGCCTGGGGCATCTGTAACGTGAGCTTATCCTCTCCCCGTTTTTTGTGTACTGAGCACTGATCGGAATTATTTCTGCCAAGCACGCCTTCCACTTCCACTGTATCTCACGATGGCTGAAAACTCGCCAAGTCTGTCCCTTAGACAACAGAGACTGGGAGTTTCAAAAGTATGGTCGGTAGACTCGTGTCTGCTGCGATTGGGTCTAGACAGCAGGCTGGCCATGGCTTCACTCGTACATTCTCTAACTGAGTATGATCGGACTGGGAGGGATTGGGTGGCGTTGAGCGGGTTTCTTTTGCATTCCGAGCAGTGCCTTTCGAATTATTCATACAGATCTAGGCTGTTCCTGAGGGACGCAGACAACCGTGATCAAATCAGGCTCAGAATGAATTGTAAAGTCCACAGCTAAATCTCATGCAACCTTTACACCATCTACCATGACCCCTGCAACTCCCATATCCGCCGACGTCGGTGCCAGCCATTTTTCGGGCCTCTTGTTGTACATAGGCCAAGGCGGGATCACCATCAAGCCAGTTGCTACTGTACCCGCGAGTCCAACCCAGAGGGTTAGATGAATGTCTTCCTGAATGTATCCCACAAGGAAAGCAATAGCCTTTCATGAATACTCGTAAGCGGCCCATGGGACAGACACAGCGATATGGGTGAATCCAGCAAGCTTGTACTCACACCTGACATGATGAGAAGGACCGTAGAAAGAAGTTCTGCCATGTGCTGGCCTTGGTAGTCCTGTCAAGGTAGAAAGGTCCGGGTTAATGCCCTGTTGTGTTTGCTAACGAGCTGGAGTCTACTTACTATTTGGCCTTCCAGAGCATCTTGGATAGGTGCTAGCAGATTGTCCATGGCAATTTCTGTGGGCGTGCACTTATGTGAGAATAATCAACGCTCACGGTCGGCTTTGACTCTTCGTGGTCAGACACAGCCCCTTCGACGTAGTGACGGCAGCACGAGTTGAAGTCGTGGCATTATCTCCACCGCCTTTGACTTATCGAGGCTCCGATACAGATAAGCCACCGTGTGCGGCGACTTCTATGTTCACCAGCTAAACAAACAAAAATACAATCAACACCACCGGTGTTTGTTGGTTGAATAGCTACATATTCGAGTCTATGGGGGCTAAGCCGAGAAACGTGCAAGTGATTCTGGAGGCCCCTCAGATAACGGCTTTTAACCATTAGACAGGTCGTCTAGTAGCAAGTCCACTTTATGATCCTTGCAACCATTTCTTGTGTGCATGCTTTGCTCTGGTAGATAATCATTACTCGCAGATTGGCACGCTATAAGACCATAGAATCTTGCTTCAGATCTGTATTCTTATGTGAATTCTTGAGGAAAGCGGCATGCAATTGTGGCAAATTGGCACGTTCTTTAGTACTGGATAGTGGCACCGGCCTGGGCAGGCTCGAGCAGCTTCCACTGACAAGTGATGTTATTGGAAGCAAAGCGAGCAATGATACGATCTGCGATCTCCTCGAAATTGTCGGTTGCTAGAGCCAAAATAGTTGGACCCGCGCCTGAAAGGCATATTCCCAAGAGACCAGGTTGGGTACGTGGATTCATTGACTGAAGAATCTCCGTCAGACCCGGAATAAGAGTCTGGCGATAAGGCTGGTGAACCTTGTCTTGCATAGCCAGATAGATCATATCCGGGTCCGGAGGGGAACTGCCCAGGGCGGCAGGGAGCAAAGCAGCGCGTTGGAGGTTGTAAACCTGATTGACGTGGCCAATTAGTGCCGTGATACATCTCTTTGATAAACCCCGTACGCCAGGTGCGAAATGAGGCCCCAGAAGAACTCAAACTTACCACATCCGCTCGCGAGTAGGAAGTCGGCAAGACGCTTCTTGCGTTGGCGGTTGGCACCACAAAGTCGGGGATGATAGCGATAGCCTTGATTTCCTTGGCCCACTGAAACTTCCTATAGTGGCCGATTCCAATAGGAGGCTCGGGGGGCCTCTTCCCGGTATCAACGCCGCCGGCGGGGGCGGGAAGGACTTCACTAAGGGGGATTTCCTTGCGCGCTACATCCTCAGGCTTGAGTTCGTTGAGGTAGGTTCCGACGAAACCTCCAAAGAGCGAGGCAGCAACGTTGTCAGGGTGTCGCTCTGTAGATATAGTCAGCACAGTCCCGCTGCCCAGGTAGAGTTCTGGCCACCTCTCTGCACCTCACCTCTGGGATAACTCACCTATCATTAAGCAATAATCTAGCATCCGCTCCTTGCTCAGGCCCAGGCGGCCTACTTCATTTCCCAGCATTACACCGGCCACGACTGCAGTGCCTGATGAGCCGAGACCTCGGCCCAGTGGAATTGGGTTTACAATGTGCACATGGGTCTCAGCGGGGAATGCCCTCTGGTCATGGCATCTAAGTACATATAGAGCTACACGGGTGATCAGATTCACTTCCGGGTCCAGGTCGATCTTCTCGACGCTGTTGCTCCGGTCCTCGTAAGTGATCACACAATTGAGTGGTTGTTGAGAAGAGCTCTTAGAGGTATCAATGGTGATTTGAAGTTCGAGATGAAGGGACAATGCCAGGCCGATCACATCAAAACCAGGTCCGATATTGGCGGAGGAGCAGGGAATCTTTAACGAAAACGAGGTGGGACAAGCCATTGTGTTCAAAGAGTTAGGCAAGTCCAAAGGCCTTGAGCAAGAGGACAAACTTCAGAAAATGGTAGAGGTCGAAAGGATGGCCCGGAAGAATGATAATGGGATCCAAAGTACTTTTGATAGAAGTTGACTCGATTCTAAGTTGCTCGTCTCGGTGACTCTTCATGTCTTGGCGCGCGCGGCCGAAAATTCAACTTCTGGGAAGGAAGGGGACCGATGATCGGCCGAGGTCGGATCCAGAGAAGCTAAACCATGCAGAGTTGAATTGACTATTCCTACAACCTACAGTATCAATTCAGTCAGCCTGCGCTCTATTGCTCTACTGCTCTGCTACCTTACCCACTTACTCTCTTACGACCACAATTGTTCAATGTATTGGCTACTTCAACAACCATGTAACATGAACTGGGTCTCTCCACCCTTAGCAAAGGGACCGAAACCATCTATGTGACCACGAGGGATCAAACTGGGAAATCCTTAATTTCTTTGCAGCCAAATACCTCCCTTGCACAACGGAGTAATGAGCGGTAATAAAATCTCTGGAGGGAGATTCCATGATCACTCATTATGATTTACGGCCGGGACATCACATGCGACTAATCAAACTAATATACCGGCTAGAACGTGGGCTTCCGTACTCGGGACGAAAGACTACTAAATATAAAACTGGTGCCTGAGAATGAGAATCTTTGAACAGGAGGTGGGACTCGGGAGCAAAGACATAAGTTACAACACACTTGGAGGTCGAGGGCATCTGAAAACCTCCACTGGGTCTATCTGCTCAGGACTAAGTACAGTACCTTACTGACATGATACTAGGTAGTATAAACTCACTTAGTAGTACCACGACCAATCATACCAATATGTAGTACTGTACTGTACTGTACTCCGTATGAAACATTCGAAACCACCTCATGATGCGAAATACCTACGTAGTGTCTCTTGAAAGCATGCCCTAATGTGAATCCTCTGTCGGTCAAAGGTATGGTAATTTGAAGTGGCAGTTGGTGAGAGTGATAAGTGAAGTTGTTGAGTACTGTAAGTACAATACAGTAACCACACTTACTCTCTAGCTCTGTACCGATTTTTGTGAGGTGTATTCTCTTGTCTGTAAGATGTATATGTACATACACTGGCCAGGTTAACCATCAAGTTCAAATTGTATGAGTTGAAGCTAAGGAAGCTAAGAGTGGAATCATCCACCTCGCCATTTCACGCTGACCCAAGATAAAAAGGGAGAAACAAAAAAAGAGGAAGTATACAAGCTACGGTCATGCAATTACACCAGGGCAGTCCCACCCCAGTGTTATTGTGGCCCTCGAGCGGAAATCTCTGCCCGCCTCCATCGTAAGTAATTTCAGTCCACTGTTCTTTGAGCCCTTGTAAAATAAATCATTGACCAACTCCGGTTTTCTGCCTCCCTCTTTCCCCCCCCTCTCCTCTCCCCTTCCCTTCCCCTCTTCGTTTCTGGGCTTAAGACGGAATCACCTTCTCAAGGTGGAGAGTTCAGGATTACCACAACTCACCCCCGTTTCCGTTGATCCCACAGAAGGTTTGTAATGTGTTCCGAAAGGACTTTGATTAGTGGTGACTAACTTTCTGCGTGAAGTTCTCTTCCCGAGTGCACTGTGTCCAACCTAATTCTTGAGAAAAGTCTGGCTTTGCGGCCTCACAAGTCATTCTAACCGACTTTCCTAACAACCCCAACTTCTAATAACACATTCATTCCTTCCTAGTGTTGGTGCCGAATCTAGGATCACCCTTTTCCAGCATCGATCATCGATCTGGATTTCTGGCGCGCACTCGTGTTCTCTAGTGTCAAGTCGGGCATCTAACGTCATTGTTCGAATCTTGAGGCGAGCCTCGAAGACACTGGTCAAAGGACTTTCCTTTGTCCAACCACCTCTTCTGCAATTCCCTGGAGCGACAACGCTCCTATTTACTTGATCCAGTCAAGTTGGCGGGCCTTCGCTACAACCAGTCCTCCCTCCCTCACCCTCTTTTGGGCCCTAAGTTCAGGGTCTTCTGCGGGGGCGACACCAGACCCCCCTAATACGATTTCCCAGCAATCCTGAAGCTGGCAAACGGACGCGCATCGGTAATGCCAGGCCCTACCGGCGGGTCTGGCTAATGGATGGAGGAGCAATTACTCCTGGGAATTCACCCATCATCCTGTGTGCAATATCGCGTTCTTGAGCCCAGCGGAACACGTCGAGAAACAACTAGTCAGGGCGTTCAATATCAGTCAATTGCAACGCGCATCCTATAAAAAGAAATCCGATCGACTAGTTCCGAAACACAGCGACTACACGAAAATCGGTTCCAGCACAATGTCTGAGTCACCGAAGTCCGAGAAATACATGTTTCTCACTAGATACAGCACACCTGTCCCCGAACTCGATGACCACCGATTTCAACTGGATTCGCCTCGAATGGACGCCGCACCCGATGTGCCGCTTAGCCGGCAAAATACCGCGCCGCAGGGTTTGCACCCAGAGACTCCCCAACGCCCAGACCTGCTCCTTATACAGGACGCCCTGCGAGAGGCCGGGTCCTTTTCGCGCGACTTTGAGCAAGCAATTGTCGACGACGATCGATCGATTCAAGATCTCACGGCACTGGGACGTCGTTTCTCTGTTGATCCCACCGGCAATGTCCGCCATGGTCGCACTTACAGCCGCACACATCAGGATTATGCCAACTTGTCGCGCGAATCATCCGTATCAGCTAGATCAACCTCCCCGCCTAATTCAGTGGAGGCGTTCGCAGATCCACGTCGCCGGGAACGGGCGAATACCCTGGAAAGCCACGGAGCTCCTGATATTGAGGCCATTCTTCAACGTACTGTTTCTGGCGGTACGCACCATCGCCGTCCCACGTTCAGCAATGCCAGTGTAATACGTCCGCAGGCTGGGGACACACAACTGGAGCCCACCGATGATGGCTGCGTGCCAACGTTCGAGCAGCCCGGCAGAATCCCAGTCATCGATTACGAAGAGCTGGAAGAGTTTGTTGCACTCAGCCAGCAAGCGAAGCCCACAACAAGCAGACGTAAGCATAGTCTGAGCTCACAGAGCAAGAAGCCGCGCATTTTCTACGACCTTCGTGCGGGCGTCCATAATTCCGACAGTGATGGCACGAAACGATCATCAAGCACAGAGAATTCATCTGATGATATACTGGATTCAATTTCCGCGAAGAATGAAAAGCTATTCGCGGAAGTTTCGAATGAGAAGGAGTTACTTGAGAACATGAAAAATGAGAATGAGCCCACCCGGTTTGGCTTTTTCTCTTCCGAATCTCAAAGTACTGTGCATGCTGCAGAGTTGGGTGACCTGGTCTTGCCTGGGGATACTTTTCGTGATCTCTTCCAGCTTGGCCCGGAAGGTGGCGTCTGGTGGCTTGACGTGTTGAACCCCACAGAAGACGAAGTGGGTGCTTTGTCCAGAGCTTTCTCCATCCACCCTTTGACAACGGAGGACATCCTAACCCAGGAAGCTCGTGAAAAGGTCGAGCTTTTCAAGCAGTACTATTTCGTCTGCTTCAGGACATTTTATCAGATGGATAAAACCAGCGAGCAATTCATGGAGCCCGTGAATTTTTATATGGTTGTCTTTCGCGATGGTGTGCTTTCGTTCTCATTCACTGAGAATCCACATGCAGCTAATGTTCGGAAGCGAATTGGAAAGCTTCGCGATTATGTCTCGCTCAGCAGCGACTGGATCTGTTATGCCATGATGTAAGTTGGAATCAAATTCGTGGGCTATTATGCTCTTGTGAACTGACGTGTGATGGACTAGCGACGATATTGTGGATAGCTTTGGGCCCGTGATCCGCGAAATAGAGGTCGAGTCGGAAGCTATTGAGGACCTTGTTTTCATTGCCCGTATGGATGATTTCGAGTCCTTTCTACCACGCATTGGTGGCCTTCGCAAAAAGGTCATGAGTTTAATGCGACTATTGGGTGGCAAGGCCGATGTTATTCGGGGCTTTTCGAAACGCTGCAATGAGCAGTACTCAGTGACGCCTCGCGGTGACATTGGCCTATATTTAGGCGACATCCAGGATCACGTCGTAACCATGATGTCTAATCTGGCACATTTCGAAAAAATGCTTAGCCGCTCGCACACCAACTATCTTGCGCAGCTGAATGTGACCAACCTCATGTTGGGTAATCATGTCAACAAAGTCCTAAGCAAGGTGACACTCATTGCCACCATGCTTGTGCCCATGAACCTCATCTGCGGTCTCTTTGGTATGAATGTGGAGGTCCCTGGACAACACACCGAGAGCCTTGCGTGGTTCTTCGGGATCATCGGCGTCATTGGTGCTATTATCATCATTAGTGGAGTGGCCGCACGTCGCTACAAGCTTGTTTGAGGCAGGTATACCTCGATTTCGATTACCTGGTCTTTGATTGTCTTGATTTTGGAATCATGCTTGTTTGACATGAAACTTTTGCATATCATGGCTCGGCTCTAATCCCTTTGTGTTCTGTGCTATTTGTGCAGTTGTCTGTTGAATTCCAAAAAAGTGTATTGAAGAAGCTGGGGGGGGGCTTCAGATAGTGTATATACTATAGAGGATATATGTGTATCTTATAATGCATCTCCATAATCCCTCTTATCTAAGATAAGCTCATATAGAATCCTAGAAGCATTCAGGAGTTCCGGAAGCCGGATAACGTATTACTAAGGCACGTTGATATCTGTGGCGCAGTAGGCCGAGGCATTGAGTGCTCCAGACAGATTCGTACTGTATTGTACTGTACTGTATTTGTAATGTACACCCATCGAAACGCTTTCTTCATTCCTCGACAGAGTACTCCGTAGATTGAACCTGTTGTTCCATCTACTACTCGGTAACTCTCTCACGACTCGGCTGGCCTCAGCCGTGAGAGGCAGCACATCTCTTTTGTTCCTGGTTTCTTTCTCCTTCTGGATAACCAATGATTACGTCAATTGTGCTCAGGAGGGACGTGACCACATCTATCCATAATGGCTTTGTCGCACAGGTTTGCGATTGCCGATGCGGTTATTTTCCTGATCGCTTTCGCTATGGCTCTTTGCGCTGGTCTCGTCTCTGCTGACGATGCTGAAGAAGAATTCTCGTCGCAGCTGGCCGTCACCAGCCATGGGACCATATACCTCGGCGATGTCGACACACGGTTTGGGTTCCCACTGGAATCGTTTAATGGGCTGGAGTTTGAAGAGATTCGGGGACGAGAACTAGACTTGATCCGTCGAGCCCCAACGGGGGTGTCATCCCTAGGAAACAACCAGTACCAGGAAGGCACGCTGAGATTGGGTGAGACTCAGCATTGGTATTTCCCTACAGATTCGACCGCTGGCGATAGCAGCAGCACCAACGACACTACTTCGAAACGGAGCGAAGATATCGCAAAACGATCGACGACCATATATCTGTCCCTGACAGCCTGCTCGAAACCGAGTCTCAACAAGTCGGAAGATGCGACCGGTTCCTCGTCCACTGTGCCACAGCTGCAGGTCTTCGTCTCGCTGTCCGAATCACTTGAGAAGCCCGGCCCCGACAAAGACAGTGCAGAACAACAGGTGTTTGTCGCGGAGGAGGGCTATATGGGCACGACTCTGGCAGCGGACGGGAATGTGTATATCGGGGTCACCGCTCCCAACAACACGCAGTATTCGGGGTCGTACACGTACCAAATTGCAGTATCCACCGATGCCTTTTTTCACGATGTAAATACCGAGGATCAGCTTCTATACCTGGTAGACTCGGACACAAAAGCCGCACTCTTCACGACGCAAAACCTCACAGACACAGATATTGACGCCCAGGACATCAGCATATGGATGAACAAGACACCCCCGTACACAATGTTTGCCAATAACTTGAACAGCACTGCGGTATCGGGTCTGGAGCGATCCTTTTGTGCCCTCGATCGGCTTGCGCAGATCGGTATGGAGGACGTGGAGCCCAGTATGACTACACGTGGTGACAAGTTCCGGCCCAAGGAGCAACTCTATGCCACTGGCCTGAATAAAAGCTCTACCTATTTAGGGATCCTCGCCCGATATGGCAATTCTACCAGTGCAGGTAATGGAATAATAGGTGGCGGTGGGAAGGTTTGGAAGCCGATGAATTTTTCTACGAAGACAGGTGAGCTCTACAGTCGGACTTTGTTGCCTCATATGCGCAGTCTTTGCTGATAGAAGGACAGAGGACAATTGCGCGCTGGTGTACGACCTTTCATTCTGTTCAGAAGTCGCCTATGCCGTGCCATCGAACTCGTCCGCTCAAACCCCGACCTTACGCACATTCTATGACGACAATGCCGCATCTCTCTACCAAAATTTCAATTACTCCCTACAACAGGTTCAGTGCAATGCTTCCAGCGAAACCATTTTTTCCCTCGCTGTCTCCTGCGACAGCTGCGCCGAGGCCTACAAGCAGTGGCTTTGCGCTGTAACAATCCCCCGGTGCCAAGACTTTTCGAGCACCGACTCCTTTCTTCAAATCCGCAATGCGGGCCAGGCATTTTTAAACGGCACCTCCATCACCAACAGTAGTTTATTGACTAACCCTGCCACAAATCGATCACGGAATCCGTTGATCGACACTGACATCCAGCCGGGTCCCTATAAAGAGATCCTCCCCTGCCAGGACGTCTGCCACAGTCTCGTCCGAAACTGCCCGTCCGCTTTAGGTTTCAGTTGTCCCGTGGGGCAGTGGTTAAATTCTTCCTATGGGGTCCGGGACTCAAATGGCGATATCACCTGCAGCTACTTGGGAGCTGCGTACTATCTGAGTATGGCGGCGGGTCTCCGTCACGATGTATGGAATGCTTTTTTAGCCCTGACCGCACTATGGACCGCGCTGTGGGCAATTGGATAGACTCCAGACACCGGTGCTGTCCCACGCTGACCGGCTCGCTCTACTTTTCCCTTTCTTCTTTTGGGGGTCTGAAAGTATATGCGTGAATCAGGCTTCGGGACTCGTTGACCCCGACATCGTGAGAAATCTTGTGTTCTTGGATATATGTGAACATAGATATCCTTCTTGGATTGACATGTGATGTTGCTGAATGTGTATTATTGATGCTGACTTAAGTGCGTGAATTACCTGGAAACCATTTACTTCTTGCGTTATACGAGTATCCTTGGGCTAGGACGCTTGGTTCATTCAAGATGACTTCTATGTTCCCTTCGACTTCACGCATCTCAAATTTGATTCAAGCGATAGGGACAGGTTCCTAGTCGTCAATGCAACCTTAAGTACGCTCGTTGGTGGCGTTTAAGAGCTTTTGCCGAATGAATGCATATAAAGACGCGTACAAGCACTAGTTGCCTGTATCCCTATGTTGCCGAGAAAGGAAGGAACCAAGTTGAGAAGCTGGCACTCAAGGCCAGCAATATATCCTACCATTGACCATGATGGAAACTGACAAACCTCGATGCAAAACGCCCGTTGTTTTTGTGATGGTATCTGGTCATGTGAGAGAGAAACGCTCATAACAAAGGAATTGGAAGACACGAGAAATGATAAGAAAATAGAACCGGCAAAATAAGAAGAGCACCATCATTTGCATCTCCTAGGAGTTGGTGTCCACATATTCTTCAGATTAGACGACGAACCAGTAAACGAACCACCTGGACGGGGAGTACTTCCCACTTGACTGAGCAGCTTTTGCCCTGCAGGTGTCAGCATCTTGCCTGCTCTTGTCCCAGGAGTAGCTGCACCTAGTGCCCGCTGACCAAAGTCGAGTTGCGGACTGCTGGCGAATTTGGGGGTCATTGCAACAGGAGTTTTAGTCTCGCGGGTGACTTTTTCCGCACGTCTCGTCCGTGCCACCCGGTCAACCATACGATGGTGAAGATCTTCCCGTCTTCGATTTTCTGTTATCTGGAACGGATTCGGGACTGCATCACCGCTTCCGAGCAAGTAGAAATCGTCCGTTATGGAGCCATCGCCCCTGGGCGAGGGACGGTCATACTCGGGCTCATCTTCATCCACAAACGCATATCCATTCACTCGGGGTGTTTCCCCGCCATTGTACCCGCCATTGTACCCTGGCTCGGAATCGGTCGGGCGAGGACGTCCGGCGATAGCATCCTTGATAGCCGATATCGATGGCGAAGGTGGAGGCACAGTCCCGGAAGTTCGATGGAGAGCCTCATTTAGAAGACGAGTGTTCTGGTATACCACACATTTAGGCGCTGCTCGAGATGCAGCTTCCGCTTTCTGCTGAGCCGTCTCATGAATGTCTTCGACGGATGAAGGCGCAAACATGAGTGAATTCTCCGGATGCGTCTTCCATGTGTCGGGCTGAGCAGGTCGAGCGTCCAGGTCGGTTTTGATCAATGCCTTTTTGTTCTGATCTGGGTTACCTCCCTGGGCCGCGATCCGCTTGGCCTCCTGTCGATGATGGGCGATCTGTCGCGCGGTCGGAATCTTGTTCCCGTTCCATAGCCAGGCATATTTCTCCCGATGCTTGGAATTTCGCTTGTCTAATAAGCTGTTGAAGGATTCATTGTCCTCGCTAGTGTACTTGGCTTGAAACTCCAGCAAGCCCAGCCGACTCACATCTAGGGCTTGGCGCTGTGTTTCGAAAACTGGTGTATGGTTTCCTGATGAAAAAGCAGACGTCATGGACGAAGGCGTATCACCGCCCCAGGTCATCGGAGTATCCCCTGGCTTTCCACTTCCAATGAACTGTGGTGTCATGGCAGAGCCAGGGCGAGTTCGGACTCTTCCAGGAGTCTGCACCAAATCAGATAGTTTCTTCTTTGAACTTGCAATCCACTCTTGATCCTGCGAGTCTAATGCATTTAGATAATCCTGCTTGACCTGAGCCTCCAGTAGGCCAGGAAAATAATCGCGTGCGATGATTTCGGAGAGAGCGTCGGTGTAGACATCTTCATCAAGCACGGTGGCCGGTCGTTTGATGCGCTTCGGTGGAGGCGGAGGAGGCATCAAGCTGTTGTTGCTTTGACGCTTGACTAGGGTTTGCGAGGACTCAGACATGATTTGAATCTGATAAATATGCAGGAATTCTTATCTATGGGGAAATTGCGGAGTGCGAGAAATGGATATGAGATGCATGCTGACACGAAAGATAAGAAGTGAGTGAATGTATAGAAAAGAGGCAGGCGAAGGGAGAGCGAGTGGGCGAAGGCAATGCTGGGAAATAAACCAGCAGAATATTATACCGCCAGAAAGCGGTGAGGATCATCGTCTTGGCATCTCCAATCCAGCTTGCATCTCGGTAGATAGACTACATATTCCTTACAGTACCCAAAATCAGTTTTGCTGATAGTTGAGTCCAGAATTACATTAACTCATTTGTTTTTCTGGGCCTATCGCTCATGGTGATCAATATTCCTTCTAGAAACGAGCCCCGATCTCCTTCTCTTCTCGATGAAATGCAACTAGAACCCGAGCAACCATCGATGTCGGAGAACACAAGCAAAAGTAAAGTTGAGCATACATGCAAGCTGGTCGAGTCACGACCATCGATCCGAAGGAACATTTATAAACTGAAATGCAGCCTGCACCAAGCGGGTGTTGTCGAATCGAACACCACTCATAACCAAATCCAGATCCCTATACCCAATAAAAGTGGCAAACACCCGATTTCTTCTTCTTTACGACAGTTCCAATCGCTGAGAAATGCAAGAGAGGCGCAGATAGACAATGAAAACAAAAGAGCATAGCGTGCAGTGTTGGTATGCAGAAGTACAAGACAGATTGTCGTCGCAGAAGCCGGCAGAGTAAAAGAACTGAAATCAAGTCCGCTAAAACAGGGGGTTGAAATCATAAATTCGTGGAAGACGTTCTATGGCAGAACAAATCGAGAGGACACTCAGCACACATACAATCTTTCAAATTGGAAAGGCCGGGAGGCTGAGGATTAGATGTGTCGGTGTCAGAGTGTTGACCGAACAATATCTCAGTTCGCAGCTGCAGGAAAGAGGGAATAAGACGCTCTCCCTTTACGACGAGGCGCGACTCTAGAAGCAGCCGCGACAGCTAAGGGTGCCGCTTCGACCTCGCTCGTGGATTTGGCTCTGTCGTGGATGGAAGGAATGATGGCAGAACCCGGTTCCATATGCTCGAAGCTTGCCTCCGGTTCCACGCGGTACAGCATCTGTGCTTCAAGTTCCCGTGCAAGGCTCTTGGTTTGTCTATGGTGAGACGAGTCTGGTCTCCCAACCGCAGTGTATTCACCTGAAGGGATTACTTCAGTTGGAATCAGCTCGCGGCTGTTCGCCAGACTATGCACTAGGTCCGGGACGCTAGCGGTCGAGACGGACGATCGATGCTTGCGCACAATCGACGCCGCGCGGGATAAGATCAGACTCTCCTGGGAATTGCACTTGCTGATCGGGGAGAAGCTGCTGCGAGGAGAGATGGAATGCTCGATAGGCTGAATCACACCTTGCTGCGCATAGAACGAAAAGTGACGATCCGACTCCGCATCTGCTGTCAAGTAGTCCTCATACAGGGACTCTGGGTTCATTGACTTGCTCAAGGCAGGTCCGAACCTGACAGGACGGAAGTAATCACTGTCTCTCTGGGAAACAGCCATCCCGGCGTCATACTCAGCAGTGGAAGGAGTAACAGCCACGCGGGAGCTGACTTCCGAGAATGAGGGAATGGAGTCCCGGTCCGTAGCGGATACGGCGGTGGCGCTCAGACGATTGAACGAAACCGTGGTTTTGTCTCCATCTGCCGTAGTGTCGGCCTCAACCGTCATCATATCCGCTCGTGGCTCATCGACGGAATTGCGAGTCCAGTCGAAGTTCGAATTCGATTCGGCTGCATGCTCATAGCAATAGTCGATATCAGCATCCCACGAGTCATAGATGTTCTCAGGAACAGTTCGCGTGGCGACCGAGGACCGCCTCCGGGCAACTTCCGAATTTGTCCGTTCAGTCACTGGTGCTTTAGTGGGTCGGTTTTTGGGGAGGGTAGGAGAGCCAAGTGCCTCAGACAATTTCCTTGCTAAATCCTGAGTCACGTATACAGACAGCTCAGGAGCAGTTGCGGAAGCTGATTGGAACTCGGCCAATGGAAGCGAGCTGAGCCCCGTGGTTGCCTGAGAGGAGTTCTCGGCAATGGGAAATTCAGGCTCGACCCTATGCTTCAAGCTTGCAACTGCTTCATCATCACCTTCCTCTTCTTCTGGAACCCCTTTCAAATCAGAGGACAGGGTGTTCAGGGACATGGACGAGGTCCTCACATCGAGACCCTCGTGGCCAGCATCCGTGGTAACCGCATGGGCGGCGTGAATTGGAAATATATCCTGTACGTGTAGCTGGGACCATGAAGCATTTCCATACACATCATCATCATCGAGATCGTCACCATCCTGCGAATATACGTGCTCAGGGTATGTTGGCTGGCTGGACAAGCCCAAAATCTCATCAATAGCTCGAGGGGCTGGCTCAGGCAACTCAGGAGAAGACGCCAGCCTAGGTGAAGAAGCCCTCGGCGAAGAATTTGCTTCCCCTAGCCCTTTGGAAACCCTGGGAACAGGTCTTGAGAAGTTTTCGAAGACGCGCGACTCTGGTCGTCTCCGAATGTCGCGCTGCTTAGGACTGATAGACGAGGAGCCACCCGGCGACGCCGGCGGGCTTACTGGTAATGTGTCAGTAGCGACATCGTTGTCAGCAATAGCTGCCCCGAATTGATTGAGATCTTCCGTGGAAAAATCCTGAAAATGCAGATCTTGAGCTTGGATGCCCTTGAGATTGGTGACAGGTCTTTGTGAGGCACGTATGGCAGAAAATTCCGTGACCAAGTCAGTCTCGCGAGCCTTTTCGAGGGACTGGAACTGAGATGGGCTTGTGTGGGTCAGATGGTGAAAGTCGAACGGGTCTGAGATCAAGCTCTTCAGCTGATCATCTGCGCAGGTCATCAGCATGAGCATGCCATGCGAACTTTAGATAAGGCTTCCCGCGTGAAACAACGGCCGTGAACGAGGATGAAAGGTGGCTCTTTGGAAGGGACTTACGTGCGTCACTCTGTCGTGGCTTATGATGCCGACTGAAGAGGTCGGAAACTTCAAACCGGGGCTTGTCGCGGTCCACCTCATCTTCCTCGTCCAGCGTTGAAACTATGTGGAACTTACTTCCCCGGCGACGCAGAATGCGACTTCCGCGCGATAAAAGCGATTTCGTTACGCTCTCTGAACGGTCATAGCGAAAGCCAGCTGACGAACCGGCCCGGTCCCCCCGGTCCTCATAGGAGGGCAACGAGGAAGCCTCGACCGAGGTCATTGAGGAACCCGGTGAACGACGAGAGGAGGTCGAATTTGTGGTATTGCTGCGAGAGCGGCCGCCCAGGACAGACAACCGCTTTGGACTTTGCGCATGTGCGGTAGATCTAGAACGGATGTGAACCGGGTACTGTTCAGGGGAGCCATTGCTGGGCGGTCGGCCATAGGCACGGTCCAGATCCTGCTGAGACATGGTGCGGGCCGGAACAGAGGGACGAGTCGGGGGAGGGAGGTATTGACTTGACTGTGGAGGAAGGATATCTCGATGGTTTTCTGAGAGAGGAAAAGGCGCTGGCCAAGCATGTGAATGTGCTGCGGTGCCGAGCAAGTGTTAAGCCACCAATTGCGAAGAATTGACTTGGCTTTGGACCATGATAAGAGCACGCAAGAGCTCACGTGCACAGGGGACAATGTGATGGACTGAAGCGGAGTCGCAGAGGACGAAGAACGATTGGGGGAGGAGGCTAGGGTTTATAGAAGGAGCGGATGAGCGACACGGGGGGAGAGAGAGAGGGGAGGGGGGGGGAGGTAGGAAGGAGGAGAGAGT